ATGTTAAGAAATAAAATACTCCTTATAATTAATCAATGTTTTGAAAGAAAACTTCAACTAAATTATTAAATTGAGAACATATGAACCATGTTTAGGAAAAGATATGAGCAAGTTAATATTCTCATTATGATGTCTTCAGCGCTAATTTAATTTCTATTGGAATTTTTTTTCTCTTTTCACACGTATAATAAAATTTTTAGAGCAATGCTACTCATAAATTTCAACAAATCATATTTATACTCACAGATTAAGAACGCAATCACTTGTATTGGGAACTTGATCAAAATTTTATTAAACTAGACAGCACGAAACTTGTGAGCTGATATGATTAAATTTAAGATTATTGTTATTATTACTATTGTTATTATTGAATCTCTTTGTTTTTGTCAGTCATTGAGAATCAGTTGGACTAATTATTTAGATTTTGATTTCTATCGATACTAGCATTTGAACATAGCTAGTTATTTTTTTTAAGACTATTTTGATGATAGACTAATATGAATTTTATAGTATAATTTAGCAACTACAATTGAGCGTATTAACATGAGTAAAATGAAAACTAAGATGTTGTGCTTTCTATCACATCACACTATTGAGTAACATTCATGTATAAACGAGTGCTGAATAAAAATCGATCAAACATACGATTTGGTTACGATACCATGAGTGATATTTTTGAATTATATTTTTTAGCACCCGAAGCATTGAAACCAGAAATTCGTCTAGAAAAAGGTTATAATCGTTCATTGGATATGTGGTCATGTGGTGTCATTATTTATGTTTCGTAAGTTTCATGTCTCGATAAATTTGTTTTTATTTTTGACATTTTTTATTATTTTATTTTAGATTAAGTGGTACTTTTCCTTTTAATGAAGATGAAGAAATTGAAGATGTAGAAAAAACAAGATTTATTTTTATTCGAAAAAAAGAAACTATTCTTTTTTATTTTAGCAAATTCGTAATGCAAATTTTATGTTTCCATCAAATCCATGGAAGGATATATCGGTTGACGGTATGATTTAACTTGTGCTGTTCGATATTTTATATATCGATTTGTTTAAAATTAAAACTTTTATTGAATTATTAGATATTAAGAGAGAGAAAAATGATTAGTCACAAAAAAAAGTTTTTTTTCCAAGATGAAATTAGAAGACAAATTTATCATGAATGATTTGTTGATTTTAATTTTAATTTTAATAAACAACATGTTTAAATGCATCATATTTTTTAGCTGTTGACCTAATTTCACATCAGCTACTTCAAGTAAATGCTGGCCATCGACTTGCTGCTGCGAATGCACTAAGACATGCTTTTTTTGAGGCAGGCATAGAGTGTATTTTTTTCTATATATTTAAAATATTTAAAATCTACTTTTTTTAATAGGATTATCAACTCTATTGTGATTTACGTAAACTAGAAGATTCGTGTTCTTGCGAACGTTGGTTAACATTAGATGAAGATGATGATAAATGGGAACAATACGCAAAAGACAATGGTGTCAGCGAAAAGTCATCTGCCGGTAAGAAATATATCATCTGCTTTTTTTTTGTATTTAATATATTTTTTCTTTTCAGAATCTTCACTGACATTAACATTACCAACAAAAAACTTCCTTAGTGTTCTATCAGCTTCAAAAAACTGATGAAATATCCACTGCGCAGTGACAGATGCATTGTAAAAAAACCTCATTCTACAAAATGAATGATGAAACAAGGGAGAAAAACTAAGACTAAACTTGATTTCTAGTGAATCTCTCTATATACTTTCATTTCTTTTAATGTCAGTCATTCATATACCTGTTGATATTTTGCCTTTTGATTTCTTTAAATCTAGTCATGTTCTTGTTTCTTTTTATGGTCGTGTATTATGTAAGGAAAGCTGTGACAACGGGTTCGAGTTCTTATCTTTGGTATTCATTCGAGCATCTACGCTGGATGCACATTGGAATTCGCTACAATATGATACGGAACGGATTAAAGATTAAATGAATCAATCTATCATTGCTGCGATTAATGATATTCGTTGAAAATTCAACAATTAAATAAGTCATTGAATTTGATATTTAGCAAATATTCAAACGCAAATGTCAACAAGAAATATTCGAATTCTTTGCTAGTTTTTCTTTTCTTGTATTCGTGAATGGATAATTTTGAGAATAAATTTTGATGAAAATTATTCCATAAGATCCGGATCATGAAACAAATTTTGAGAAAATTTTAAAATAAGAATAAATGTATAGAAAATAATTATTTTCTATCAATTGATAGTTATCATAGTATAAATAAACTTATTCTGCTTCACTCGTTACTCTTTTCAAAGAAGTTATTGTTGATCTTTCTTTTTTTATTTGATTTAAAAGACATTGTCATGACATTTGGTGGTATCATTTTTTTTTACGTAATCAATAATGTCCACAGTACAGTCTAGGTCATTTGAAACAATTATAATTTTCATTCTAGCTAAGATCGTTTGTAAATGTTTCTTCTAGAGAATTATCTAATACTGTTTTTAGTCTTTTTTTTAAATAGATGTAATTATTCATCGAAAACGAATACATGCAGATTCTTACAAACAATTCGCAATCTACCACATTATAAGGATTGTATTTATCAATCAAGATTTCAAAATTTGTCAACATGAAGGTTTTGATCAAATTACTTTGTAGTTTAATATAAAATGTTATCAATTTTTCAATATTCATGCGTCGGGAAAATTTAATTCTTGCCTAATAATTGATTTTTCAAATCTTTGAAAGTACTCATTCATACATAATTTTCATAGTAGAACTTTTCATTTTTTCACACTTCGGAATATATTATGTAGTTTGATATGAAGACAAAAATCTTTATGGTTTAATCGAATTCACACATGTAAAATTAGTTGACAAGATAAAGATCATAGTTTTATGAATAAAATATGTCATTGTTTTGATTGAAAACGAACAATATTCTTTTATAATTTTCAAGTTTTAAGAATGTGTTAGAAATTTACATGATAACACGTTCGATTATATTAATATCGTCCATGGGCTTGTTCACTTTCATATGGAACAGTTCGAGATTAATTTTGAAACTTGTAGATTTGTACAGCTAATCTGAGAACAACAAAATGCAAACTGAATGAAAGACTAGCGAATATACGTAAGAATGTCGTTATTACATCCATTAAATCAAATCGATACGTAAGCGTAAACGAACATTGTTGTGGAACACATGGTAGATAGAACGATTCATGTGACACATGGGCACTCCACGATTCTGTTATCATTCGATTCATAATGTTTTCAATGGTCTCGTTAACGGCTAAGTTTGATTTACTGATATTCATTGAATATAAAATAATTGGTCGAAACGGTGCTAAAGTTCTTGTACATTGACTCATTCAAAGACATTGTCATAAGCAGCTGTTCTAAACATAAAGATCAGTAAAAACACTCTAATGGCGATTGAAGAATCGAACAACCAAATCAAAGTCCATCGATAGTATGAAGAAAATTTTCATTTTCATTGTAAAGTGCACCATATGAAGAACATCGAGATGAAGTAGCGCGCATGAACATGATGAATTATTCTAACTCACAGGTTGCACATTCATCAAATAAGTTATATTATTCTGATTATTACTTAGCTGAAATTGTCAATTCGATGAAAATAGACTCATTAATCCATTTTCTTGATTTGTGACTCAAATCAATTCTAGAACTTGATTAAATGTGACTGGTATCGATCTTCGTAGTTGGCGTAAATTAATATCTATTTGTCTATGAAATTGATCCTTTAATATAATTTGATTGATTAGAAATATCGAATTAAACAGTGAGATCGAAGTATCAGAAAAAGAGGATGCACCCCACTGTCGAAAATCATGATCGGGAATCCAATCAGGTACTTTTTCTTCAGTACTTAAATACAATATTCACTGCAGAGAGACAAAAATACTAGAACACACAGGATGAAATGATTGCAATTTCATTATTAAGACGAAATCACTGTACGAAATTTACATTTGCTGACATGAAGATTGAAGAGTATTGACATAAAGCGAATAAATTTGTTCGAATTCAAATGAATTTATTCGAGCTTAAATGGTCACAAGTTTCGATCGTTATCGAAGACTTGTTTACAAAAGAATCGTAATCAGAGATATTGTCAATAGAACGAGAGAAACTCGTGTGTATTGCCATTCATGATGTAGAACTGTTTCATTCATAGATCGCGTTTTAAAACTATTTAATTTTTTTAATGATCCATAGATTTTTATAAAAAAAATTGTCGATAAATAATCATAGGAAAAATATATCATTACTGAATAAAGAATTCATCAAAGTTGAATAATAGAAAAGAGACTTGTACTAATAATACACAAAAAGGCAATCAATTGAAATGTGGATTACTTGCTCTATTGAATGTATTTTTTTCTGGTGAGATGCTTTTTATCAAAAGCTACTCTCAATAAGGTACGTGCAGCTAATTGATATGCAGATCTTAGATTACATTGAAGTTTTCAATGAAAATAATTTTTCCCTTTCATGTTAAAGTATCTTTCTATCTCTCACTCGCTCAGGTTATACAAGTTTTATTGATATTTAAAATCATATCAGTATGGAATACCATGAACTCAAATCAAATCTTCGAAAAGCAATTTCAATGAATGGGCTCTTACTCAAGCACGAAAACAATCAACTGAAATAGTTCCAATCATTGATCAGTCGTAAAACATGTTATTATCATATGCTTGATTATTAGCCAACTACAGAAAGTATTCAGAACCAATTGATATCAGAATACGGCGAGTCTTTTTCTTCTTCTTATGAATTCATCAAGATTTCTTTTGAATCTATTAAATTTTATACAAAAACTAATGAAACGAAAAGAAATAAGAAAGTTTTATATGATGAAATACACTAAATTATACATCTTATTCTAAGTTTATTATTTTTTAAAACACATATGCATTCAAGCTAAAAAAATGACCTCAAGTCAATCTACTTAAATGTAAAATCATATATTGTCTATAAGATCACTAAGATCATCGTAGCTATTATCAATTTTATCATCTGCAACATTTAATTGTTCAAGTGCATTAGATACATCATCTTGTTCCAATTTAATTTCAGATACATCAAAATTGTCATTTGATGATAATGCATTATCAACTGAAATAGTTGCTACTGATTGAGTTGCATCATTTTGTATTGTTGTTGCTGCTGCTGTTGCTGCTGCTTTTGCTCTTGTTGATTTTTCAATTAATTTTGCACTTTCAGCAATGGCAGCCGTTGCCTCAGCTACTAATTGTTTTTCTTCTCTAATCATTGCATTTGCTTTAGCAGCAATTGATTGTGGTTTTGGTTCAGCAACAGGATCATCTTCAAAATCAGATTTTAACCAATCAACCATATTAACAAAAAGAAAAACTCCATTTTGACTTATATTTATTGGTGCCAATGGCAAATCACTGGGATCCATTGGATCATCTTCATCAACTAATTCTTCTTCTTTATTATTATTATTATTGTTACACGAAGTATATTTTGATGCATATCTTTGTTGATGAACTTTATAATGATCACGTAAACGTGTTGCAGATGGAATATATTGTTTACAAATCGTACATCTACGTGAATCAAGTTTACTCTGCACTGATGGACAATAAGCATCAAATGGTATTAATTGATTTTGTGTTCCACGCATAACAATACCATGAAATTGTATCCGTTGAAATAGTGTACCATAATATGGAGATATAGGTTTTAGATTAGCCAATGTCGACTCAATCTTTTCTAATCGAACGCCATGAGACGAACGATTAAATGGTACAGGCGGTGGAAGAAATCGATGAGGAAATACCTGAATATAATTTGAACGCCATGGACCACAACATTCTGGCTTAGTACAACGAATTATTTGAATAGTATATTGAGTTTGAAAAACATGTGTTGCACACCAATATCTAAAAATTTCATAAGAGATTTGTGAAATATTTGTTTTTTAAATAGAACATACTCATCAATATCATAAACTGGCTGAGGTTTGGTATCTATAGTTGGATCTGGATAAAAAGCTGGACGGGAATGTTCAATACGTTTATGAAGTGGAATTTCTTCGTCTTCATCACAAATTCTGAAAACGAAAACGTTTGTTTCCTATTGGATATTTCTTTAAAATTCTTACTCATCTATAATATAATCTAAAGTAAATTTAGTATCAATAAATCGAACCATATCATTAGTTGACGCTGGTGGATCAATGTATTCAGTAACAACTTGATGACCATCAATCATATTCATATTCCATACTTCAGCAAGTACATCACCGGTTTTTTTAAAATTCATTTTTTCTAATTCAGCATCAACGGTTAAACCACTTATATTCAAATGCGTACCAAAGAAATTATCTGGTAAAACTAAACCTGATAAATCATGTGATAAAAGTGCTAAACGTCGTTCAACAATATTGAATGCTGTTTGACCTGGTGCTTGTGTAACAAGTATAAAAGCATCTAAATTATATTTTTTAAATTTTTTAATTGATAAATTAAGAGTTTTTCGAAAACGTGTAAAATCCATTGGATTGATACTATCAACATTCATAATAATAATGGGTTTGATTTCACCAACATGATTTCGAGCAGTGCGTTCAAATTCTTTTAATTTAACAACATGATCAAAATCAATTTCTTCACAATTAACAATTGTTTGATCATGTTTTGCTGATCGAACAGCAATATATGTTGGACCAGCATTGGTAATAGTACCATTTTCATCAAGAATACAAGATGCATATACTCTAAATCAAAGATACGTAAGATGAAACAATGCGAACGCTTAATTTCAAAAGAGAAACTTAAAAAACAATGAACGGAAAGAGTGTTGATGCTAGAAAATATTTAGAAGAATAGAAAAAGACTAAACCACTGTCAATGGTTGAAAACTAATGTACTGTTGTCTCATGCTTAGAACTGATAGTATTAAACTTGGGAATTAAATGGAAACTGGCAGTTTCTTCGCTAGAATTCAGTCATTTTACGTAATCGATTTGCTCTGAAAAAAACAGACTCTGTGTAACAATTTCTTCTTGTAGAGTACGATGGGAATAGTAGATCTTAAAATAAAATTTGATAATTAGATATTGACTTCTTATAGAGAATATTCCACAAGTTCTCAAACAATAACAGATTATTATATCTGATCAATACTAATTATTTGTAGAATTTCAGTTTTATAGTTAATATCGTCGATAAAAACACGGGCAAAACTGTTATTTGTTGTTCAATTAATATTTTCGATTTTCTTTGCAAAGGTTTTCAAATCAAAAATAAATTTGAAAATTCTGTTAAATATATATCGAGTTAATCAAGTTCGTGTATCCGGCTATGATGATTCGATTGATAAAAAGCATATGCAAGGCCATTCAAAGTCACCAAAATCAGTAGCTTAGAGTCTTGATCATTGTGAAAAATTATCTTACGTCGGTTGTCTAAGTACTTTCAAGGCTTATTTACTATTTACTAAATTCAAGAAGAAGAAATTCTTGAATTATTTTACTGATTCTGTAACATACACTTTATATTATAGATTACTCTGTAAATCCTCATCAAAATAAGTTTTATCTTAATAACTAACAACCAAGAAAGATTTGTATTCATCCCTGATAAAGAAACGTGATTAAAATTCGATATTCAACATACGCTGGTTTAAATTGATATCGAACACTTGGAGGTATTGGTGTTGAATTAGCTGTACTTATTTGGTAATCTAAACGCATGATAAGTGGTGCATTTCCTTTAGCTGCAGGTCGACCAATTCTGATAGAAGCTTTATTATCTTGAACAAGATAAAAAATACAATCGTTTCCAAATGTTCCAGCTAAATCTTTGATATATCGTAAGGTTCCAGATACAAAATGGCAATCTAAATAGATATGAAGCGCATTGTTTTTGGAATGTCTAGTTTCCAGCAGTGTCCAAGAACTGAGAAATAGGAATTCCTAATCTACCGAGGAATTGTCAGTGCCGCTGTGATAATTCCTAGAGAAAATGGGAATCAACCATTGGTTTCCTCACAGTTCCACCATTCACGAAAGTCGCGATATTACTTTTTTTTAAATAATTTGTGCACGGAACTATTGATTCTCACAATTTTGTAGGTGACGATGAGTGTAAAAACAAAAATTATTGTGAATATTCCATATTTTTACCTTTAGTATGCAATGAACTGTAGGGGAACTGAGGAGGAATTCCTAATTCTCAGTCCTTGGACACCCCTCCTAGTTTCATAAGTTACCTTCGTGTTTGAGTTGTTCAATAGCTTGAATTTTTCGAAGACGAACTGCTGATGATGTAACATGTTTTTTTCCATCTTCAGAAAAAGCACCAGCAGGTATAAGACTAAAATATTGGATTTTACGTTTGAAACTAACCATAATCAAATCATTTGTTTACCGATAGAAAGCCGAAGATCTACGAATTTCATAACCACGTTCTTTTATTTTATCTCTAAGATCATCCAACGATGTACATGGCTTATTGTTAAGAAGTCTGTGATTTGCATCTGATACACCACCAAGTCTGGCGATTTCTTCGATTGTTTGTAATAAATCTGGAGAAACATTATCATTAGAATTGGCAGATACAACAGCTATTGTGGACGGTTTATAAAGTTTTAAAAGTTCAGTCGCAACTTCTGTATCAGCGCTACATAATGTTTCAAGACGTTTTTTTCTTCGTTGACGATAACGTAAACCAGCGCGCTGTTTAGATTGTAAAAGGCTGAGCTCTGTTGAACGTTCTTTTTTTTGTCGAATTAATTTCTTTAACGTATGATTTGTTTCTTCAGTTGATAAACCCATATTTTTAACTTGTATTAAGTTAGCAATGCGGTCAGATATTTCTTTAATTTCTTGTGCAAGTGCTTCTTGTGCTGGAGCTTTTACTCGATTCTTTCTAGCAAGACGTCTTGCTTCAATTTTTGCAAGATGTGCTTGAACACGAGCTTTCGCTTTTTCAATACCTCGAATAACCCACGGTTTTGTTTCATCTTCGTTTTCATCAATGGGATTTCTTATCGTGCGTTTTGAAAATGTTGGTTCAACAGGTATGACTGCATCGGGATCAAATAATGGATCATGAATTTCTGTTTCATCATCTGATGAAATTGTTCGTTTTCGTGCACTCGTTGTTGATGTCTCATTATCATTAGCAGGTTTCGATTCGTTTGCAATTGTTGTTGATTTTTTTCCTATTTCAAGATAGTTTTCAATGCTTGATTTGATCAATTCTTCATTATTTTTTATTTGATTCCATTCAGCTAAAGCATTGTAATGACGAAGCTAGAAAAATAAATATTTCTGTATTTTATTTTATTTAGAATATCAATCAAGACATAACATACACATTTAGCCACTTCAGAATGACCTTGCATATAAGCATCGATAAATGTTTTATATAAAACAAATGGCGAACTTTTACTCGTCATTATAATTTATCTACAAACGAATCAAAAAATGAAAAGTTCTTATAGGTTTCTAGTTAATTTAGAATGATATATATTAGAACTGTCTAAGATTCAATATTACTGTACCAAGAAAAGCTGGAAGGAAAAATAATAGAATCTTTAAGAATAATTTTTTTTTTGGTAAATTCACTCTATTGAAATAATGGCATTTTTGTGAAACAAAATGAGTTGATCAATTTTTAAAAGCTGTTTCTGTGATTGCTATACTAGTCGAGACGAGATAGATCACAATGAATAAGTTTTAGCCTGACTTCTAGCGTATATTTATTGGGAATCAACGAAAAGTATAGCCAGGTTGAAAACCTCAGTATAATTTCTAAAATTAAAGAAGCATTACTACAAGAATCTAGTTTACATGAATTCCAAAGAAAACATAGCTTCCAAAGGCATCTATAATATCATTTATATCAATCCACAGTCCAGCACGACTAGATTACGGTAACATATAATTACGTAGCGTGTCATTTTTATATTTTGAATGATCTTACTGAATAGGCAATATTCAAGGAAAGTGGAGTTGAAGACAATACTTTTTTAAATTATATTGTATTCTTCCATCAAATAGAACTAAATAGGAAAAATCTTGCACTTGTCAATTTGTTTTCTTCTCTATCATTTCATTTATAAAGATAAATAAGTAGTCGTTTTTTTAATTAATTTAAATTATTCAAACCTTTAATTGAATTGAGCAAAATTCAAAAGTTTTAGGATCTGCTTGTGAGAAGGCACTTTCAAAACTGCCCACTATGGATTACCAATCAATCCTTGAGCATGTATGTGCTCAATTGAATCGTTACTCGACAAATAATCTAGAACAAAAAGAAGCAGAAACATCTAAAGACATATTAGTTCATCATGGTCAAACTGAGATGAGTGTAAACAGTTGCGTGCAGAAAATAAAACAATGAATGAACACTGTACATACAGATGAACGATAAGCTTCACGTTAATATGTATTGTTTTAAGAAACACAGCGTAAAAATGATTAGCGTACTATTTCTTTTCAAATTATTATAATAATAAAGAATCATGTTTTCATATCGTCACATAAACCACACACGAACAAAAAAATTAAGAAAATATAAACTTTTTTATATTTTCGTTCTGTTCAATTTTATCGAAGAAAGAAATGAATATTCATGCCCGATGGTATAAACCAATGATTCACGGACATATAAAAAAGAACACGACTCTCCCATGTTCGATTTATCTTTACCTTGACGACAAATAGTTCAAACGAATAAAAGAAAAAACTTGTTGGTAATCGAAAGAAAAAGCTTTTAATTTGATGTCGACTAATGAATTCAAGTTCATTTTTTTTATCAAACACTTTTCCCAATAAATAAGTATCAGTTATCCAAGATTATTTTGTGATTTTTTTCAAAGTACACGATCATCATACTTACCATGCGTATACAAAGTAAATTCAATGATGAGTGAACGAAGCCGTACGCTTTATTTCGTTGTTAATAATAGAACATACACGAACGAACGAAAAATGCTGATATGACCGTATGTTGACCCTACGATATAGAAAAGTAAAACAGTATATCATAAATACTTATGTACTATTTAGCTGACAGCAGAGAAGTGACACAAAAAAAAAAGAATTTTTTGTCGCTTTCTTATGAGATCACTCGGTTAGCTGATCTAAGCAAAGTACCATGTACCTTTATTCAAAATATACAGATTCTATTTTACACACGATGAACATAACTAATGAAATTTTTTTTCTTTTTGCTTTGACAACTATCGTATTCATATTTGTTTCGCTTGTATAGTTCGAATGGTCCGAAAGTAAAACATCCTTCTTCGTCCTTGTGATAAGCAAATAGTAATATGCATTGATCATATCATATTCTATTTTGAAACATAAATCATGACTTTTTTGTAAGAGTAAAGATCTTCAATAATGAAGGGTGTCCAAGAACTGAGGAATGGGAATTCTTCCGATTCCTTCGAACACCAGCAATAAACAGAAAAGCACTAGATGAATTGGCGATTGCCCCACAGATACTTCATGAATCCCCCTCAATACCAACACATCTCCCTAACGAACACCGCACTATTCGATACCTTCTCCGTAAGATACTACACAAAATACCTACACAATCACTCAATTCCTCCAGTAGGGATTGCCCACTATCTATCAAACACATAAACGTCTCAAGTAAAAACTAGAAACTGATGAGATTCCCTCAACAACGGATTTATGTGAAACAGCCCGACAGTAGTGAAAAACACTTGAAAATGGCTACCATTCGTATATACAACAAAACCTATTCAAGACTAGCCTTCGATTCTTATCGCAAACCTAACAATGGCAATACCATCCTTCTAACCAAGTTACCTAATAGGGACTCATCCGACATCCTTCGAGTAACTGGGTAAGCGTATGCGAGAAGTATCGATTCCCCAGCTCTTCAAAGGTAATGTGGGCTGATACCTTGGCGGTAGTAGGATCAGTCCCTGGGTATTATCAGCAGAACTTTCATAATTTCTCGGTTCCCCTGCGTCTTCTGTTATCGAGAAAGATTGTCAAAGAGTATTCGATAAGCGCCGTTTTCCCAGTCACTGGATGGAGGAGAGAGTGGTTCCCTTCGGGGTAAATGAATCAGTTGCTAGGTGCTGTCAATGGAACTATTCTGCTTGTAATTTTTCGATTTTGCGCATTGCTTGCTATATAATAACCAGGCACATGTGATGTGGAGTTAAGTTTTCATTGTCAGTTCCCTTCGTACGGAGAGAGGATCAGTTCTGGATGTTTCTTTGGTTCCCCGGATAGTGATGATCAGCTGAGCTATCGTTGGGATGTTTGGGGTGAATGTGGATGATGTTTAGGTTGTGTATTGTTACGGTTTTCAAATTCTGGTGCGTAATTTGAGGAAATGGATAGGGAAATGAATTAGGATATGTCATGGTTTCGTTGATCAATTCTCGTTTCCGCGAAGTTATTATTTCTTTTGGCTGAGACTTGTAGATATCGGAAGAATTCCTAAACTTCAGTCCTTGGACACTGCTGAGATTATATGAGTTACAATCAATATTTGCGAAATGAATCTATCAATCATCATAACTTTATGTAACTGAACAATTTAAAAATCTTCAATGGCCTTATGTGGTATTGCGAGAAGTTGGGAATATTTTAGAAAACAAATTCATCTATGTTCTTGACAAATCTCATAAAGAGAGACAATTTAATTGTGATATTTATAAAATGTTTGTTTTGAATTCTATTGTTGTAAAATATATTTTGCTTCAAACCTATTTTTGTTCGTATTTGAGAACCAGCTAAAAACATATTTTATTGATCAAACTTAAAATTTTCAAGTAGAAGGACAAAAAATCTCAGAAAAACTGAATGTATAATTGAAAAAATATCTGAAGAATAAATTTTAAGTCGCTCATTTCAAGAAATCAAGGTATTTATGTAAAATCAAGTTTGATGTATTGCTTTCTGTTTTTAGTTTTCCGACTTGATTGATATTTTCATAGTATACGTGAAAATAAAATGGTAATATAAGTATAGAATAAAATATTAATTGAAGAAAAGTAACTAATCTTGATGGAATGACTAACTTTTCCGCCGTATTTTCTCCGAAAATGTTTCTTGTCAGCAATTGCTTAGTAACAGTTGACTATAAATTAGACTAACTTACTCACGAATTCACATTTAATTGTTCGCTACAACTCAACTTCAAATCTCTACGACAAAGAAGAAAAACAACTATGAACGCAATCACTATTACACTCTACTGTTTGATTTTTCTTGGTAAATTTAAACTATTTGTTTTCAATTAAGCTGGTTCTTCTATTAAAAATTATTTAATTGTACAACAAGGAATTGACTCTATTAATTGATATTCTTGTGTTGCCGGTACGGATGGATGTGGTCCATCATTTAGTACGAAAGGTAGTGGAGTCATAACGACAGCATTGAATACTAGTGCTGTTTATTCTACAGCAAATATTTTCGCAAAGTTTTTTTAAATAAATTTAATGTTTTTTTCTTTATACAAAACAGTAGTTACCAGCAATACCAATGCCATAGAGCGGCTATTCTACTACAGGAAGCTGTACTGAGGGAAGTAGTTTAAGTTAGGGTGTGGTTTTTACCAGTATTGTTGCACAACGGATCTATGTAATGAAGCTTCAATGGGAACGGGAAACTTCCTGATTGTGATGATTCCAGTAATCATCAGTCTGTTGTCCATCAAATAACGTCAACAGTGATCTTTTAAATGTCATATGACTAAAGTGACTATTTTTTCCCTTCTTATCTTATAACCATCATGTAAATGTTCCTATGCTTTCCTTAGTTTCACTTATTTTTAAATAAATATTCACATTACTTTCGAGAGATGAATTTAAACCAAATCATCTTCTTTCTTTCAAGTTATTAAGTGAAACCAAGCGAATCATTGGTTTCTCGAATAAAATTATCGGGTTTATGCACGCATCGGATAGATTTATATTTCATGTGGGAAACACGCAGTCGTTCATAAAATATACCGATTGATATTAACTGTTAACAATTATGTATGAAAAATTGCTGTAAATATAAAGATAGTGCAAGACTCCAATCAATTTTCCTAGAATAAAATATTGAAAAACTATATGATTTGACTGGCTGATACTTGTTTCTTATGTCCGTCGTTGACGAAACGTCAGACTTTCGAATAGAATGAAAAAGAAAACAAATATTACTTTAGTCACATACGGAAAAATGAATCAACTGATCAACAACTTGATTTTCTTTCAGAATTAACATGATTAGTTAGTTTTTATCCCTTAATAACGGCTATTCCATTTATAATAGTATTGATAATTTCTTTTCGTAATGGTTCTTCTATGCGAGCGAATACATTTTGCATGTTCTAACATTGAAGTCTAAAAATGGCATACTATATAAAATTTAAGATCAAAAATATTTATTATTTATTCAACAATCATATATCAGAGTTTTTCCCAGGATGCGTCAGATATTAACGTATTTCATGCTGAAATACGGATAGAAACATAAACGACATGTCAAATCGAGGTTTCTATAGATAGTCGATTATCGATCAACACATTAGTCATGTGATAAAGATATGATCAATGTTACAATGCCTCTGCTGTTTTGAATTGATATTGATACCAAAATACTGAAGTGAAACAATGTGAAGCTGATCGTAGTATTTCTAAATAATCTACAAAAATAATTGATCAGATTGAGCGTAATGCTCGACAAAACTTACATGAATATTAATTAAAAATTCAACAGGGCCAACTCAAATAGAAAAGTGATCTCAGCTGTAGCAATTTTATGAAATTAAAATAGTACAACACACTTTCATGACCTATAACATTCTCGAACACGAGATCAAATCAAAATAAGTTAATCATACGGAAGCACTTGAAATTTCTACTTTTTTTGCGTGAGTTTGACAAATGAATAATTGTTTTAATTTGATTACACTATTGCTAAAACTCATTTTCTCTAAATGAATCAATAGTTAACTTGATTTTTCTAGAATTTAAAGCAGTAAAAAAAACTTTATTATGAACCTTGTGAATGATTTATCATTAATCATGTGTCAGTATATAATGTATGTGCAAATTGAGTTAATATCATAATTAATGAGAGCAATCGATATCAGTAATTATTCGATGGATTGTTTTTGGAAGATCACACTTGTTTCTCTTAGATACAGGTTTTTTTTTATATAGAAGAAATATCCCGAAATAATACTTACCATAACCAACAAAGAAATCATTGTATGGCTAAGGACTTTCGCTAAGCAATCATAGCAATGCGAAAAAGAAGTTAAATTGTAATCGAAATATCAATATGTTGTATAAAAATCTTAATAAAAACAAGTGTAATCACAATTTCAACTATAGATTGTAGTACTTGTCAGTGTGACTGTTACGAGTGTATTAATATTTGATAAACGGTTGAATCTATAGAAATAATATGCTTTCGGGTGTATGCTTCGTTATCGACCGAAAACATTTCTAATGCAAACTATTGAACATTTAGAAAAAAAGTGGCATCTTTTAAAAAGATAATTTAGTGGGCTATAATATTCAATAGACTATTCATTCAAATAGTTATAAAACAATGGTGACTGGAAATGTTTTCAGATACCTACAGTTCAGTACGTTAGCTAGTAGAATTAATTAATTATGAAAAGGTCACCATTTTACATGGAAATATCATTCACAATATGCGTAGTTATCAACGATTATCATCTAATATAGCTCAACAACTGAAATTTGGTTATACATCTGGTAAGCTAGAACAGAATATCAACACATCTCTGTACCAGCATCCTCAAGATGTACGATGAGTTATTCATTCTAACGTTTAGTATTCAAATGATATCTATCATTTTCGGTAGAGACAGAGCAGATCGTTTTTATTCAATAAAACTTAATTCCTTTGTTAGTCTAATAAAACACTGTCAAAGTCTATTGGATAGCAGTTTTCTCCTCAACCCATATCGTTGCTCTTTACCTACTTTACGAGGTACGAATCGTTCCATATCAGCTTTTTTTCTCAATATATGACACGTGTTGAGATAATGATCTTAACTTTGATAATGTTTATATCAATATCTTATTCGTTGAAATATCGAATATGCTGCAGTTCTGAATGTAATGATTATATGCGGAGAGCGTCCAAATTCCATCCGGGGTGTAATGCTCTCGTTCGAGTGTAACCTATACATAACATTTGGTCTTATAAAGCCATTTATTCTCATAATACCTATTGCCTTTATCTTTCTGTCCTTTACATTTGTCTTTATCTATCCTTCTTCTTCGTTCTCTCAAATGGTTGAGTATTTAAGCGTGTGCTTTATATGTAATCGAGGCGATTTATGATTTGAAGAGTTAAATAAAGTGTAATACCATCAGCACAGGCATCTCTTCTATCTAAAATCGTTACACTGAAGACTACGTAAATGAAATAAAACCAAACCAAATGACTGATAGGAACATTCAGATAATAACTTGTAGCTACATTGTTGTGTTTCTTCTAGATCGTCACTCTTGTATTATTAGGTCTCATTGAAGTACATCGTTCAAATATTATTGATTGTCTATCAACAGTTTATTTACAATTAATCGAATTGAATAAGTTTTGATCAGTCACTTGATGATATTCATAACAACTGTTCAGTGTGAGACTGATATTCTGGCGATTATGGCTCTTCAACAAGCTAATCTCAAACGAAACGTTCCAATTGAAGTACAAGCCTCTGATGGTTTCGTTACTGTTGAACATCGGCATAATGTTCTTCAGAGAATGAATCAGATAATGCCGAGTATCATCGCTAAAGATGACATTTCCAAAATAGTCGGATACGCCCTATCGATGCCACCTGAATTTGGCGCAGAAGTACCAGAGCTTCATTCTTTATTCTCCATTATCAATTCGCTGGAATACAAAGAAAAGCCTCTTAAAGATTATGCTTACTACGTTATGGGTCAGTCATGTGTAGCAGCTGGTTTTCGAGGTCAGAAGATCTTGACAAGAATGCTAAATAAACATCGGGAAATCTACAGTGATCGTTTTCGACTAATCATTACAAGTATTTCTGATAAAAACCCACGTTCTCTTTATGCTCATATAAGGGCCGGTTTTGTTTCAATAAATTCGTTTCATGATGAGATGACGAATGAAATATGGCATATGTTAGTATGGGATTGGCACAAAGACATTTCTTCATGAGTACTTTACATTGGACATCGAACAAAAGAATCAGAAAAGCAAAGGAAATCATTCATATGTTGATTTTCATAATAAAACGAATTTCTATTTCCTGATGACGAGAAAAATAGTCGAATCATTAACTTTTTATTGGTTTCTTGTAAGAACGATTGAAAATCGCTCTAAAGCCTGCACCTATGTTCGTAATGGATTTTTCTTACTCTTAAAACATTGATTTTACACTATTAAAGCTCTTAAAAAGCACAAGACATTCAGAAAAATAGCATGTCCTTTATTTTTACTTAAAATTAAAATCTACGACTGATTCAATAGTTGTTTATGAATTTATACTTCATCCGAGAATAGTTTTAAAAAACTCCAGGATACAGTTCGTATAAAATTAAAATGTTAGACATGACAGACTGTCTGCATGGCAATATAAAGACGCCTCCAGTGAGATGAACGTGAAAAGCATTAAAATCAGATCTAAACAATTTCTTATTAGTCTATTTCATTATATTCTACGGTTATATAATAAAGTACAAAGTATACCAATACGTTCTTGGATACTTGAGAAAATATGTGTTCCGCCATTGAAAACAGAATGCACAGAACGTTATTTCACGTAGCAATGAACTACAACTTACTTCCACTCAACGTAAGTAACAGAACTGCATCTTAAATTAGAATAACATTCTGAAATGAAATGAGTTCAATAAATTACCAATGAGAGTCATGTTAACTGCCTATGACTTAAATGAACACATTGAAAATATCCTTTCAAATAATCAAAAACAAAAAATTGAAATTTTCAGGAAACATCATCTTTTTTTATCCTCAGTAAATTAATTCGATCAGAAGAACATTTTTCCTCGATTAATTTTCCAAAAACCATCCTTGATTTTCGACACCATTGTGTGTTTTCAATATCGAACAAAAATTTTGTTCAGTACAACCAAGAGATATATTTTATTTTATGGTATTTTGACTGAACAAGTATCAACAAAGGACCGGGAAACTACAAAATGTATGCCGTTTGTTAGAATATTTGAACAATTGAAAAATCTTCTTACTAAATTTATATTATTTGAGAATAATAGCATTTTTGTCGCAACACGAGCTGTTTTCAATCGATGATATTTTTTTTTTACATAGAATGATTATTCTTTGAGTAAAAGTTAATAAACAACAATCAAAAATATTCATGTATTTTAAGTGAAAAGAAAAAGTTTTAGACATTTCGATAATTAAACAGCTTACATTACACTTCTGGTATCCACAACTTCTCATATGTTTATATTCGCTTCATCTAATCAGTAATGGTCAAACATATATCTATCTTCAAGATCAAAGATATACGAATACGTGAAATATAGTTCATTTTCTGAAGATTTTCTGAAATATAATGATTTCATGCAGAATTCATAACTAATTTTTATTTTCATCCATTTTTCCAGATGTATTGATGAAACAAAGTGTAGACATTACAAACAAGCTTTAGTTATCATATAAAATGTTCAAATAACAACTATAATACTTCGAAATAGTCAAATAATATGCTAACATAAGTAGTTGATAATCAACTAAAGTCGAATTTTATTGTCAAGTAGTAAAGAAATTCAACATTATCATTTAATTGATAGTAGTGTAGGTTTTCATCATGAAAATAAATTGACAGCATTAAGATTTCTTATTATCAGTGAGAACCGATATCGCATTCTAGAAATCGAAAAGCATTCAACGAAGAGAAAAGTTGCTGAATCGATCGAGAGATCATCTCCACTGAAAATTTTTATCAAAATTCCAAAATTCGAGGTAGAAAAGTCAATAAATTGGTTAATGCTTTAGCTTGTTTTAAGTTTTCAATTGTTATTAGTAGTATGGTTCCAAATAAAAACGAAAATAATTGTTCAAAAACTTCCACTCATCATGCTTTGTTTTTTCAAAATAATTTGTATAATTGAAATTGTGCTTGAGTATTCAGTAATGTTCTATATAGTATGTACTAAACTGGAATTCATATGAGCATATTGTAATAGCTACTAAAATGATCAGCTATTCTCTTGCTATTACTCTACTATCAATATAATTACTAAGAATGGATTTCTATCAGCAATTTTTCTGCCTACAGCTATTGGACATCTTTTTTTCAGCATTGAATAATGTCGTAAGTCTTATTTGGAAGGATTTATTCGCAATTGAACTTAAAATTAATATTAGTAAATAAACAAATTTATTCATCTTCTGCGTTCACAAGGGAGAACAATTACATTTGAAGTGAATGAAAGATAGAACAAGGTACTCTGACATGTAAAGTAGTCAAGAGGAAGGTGGAAGAAACTATGGTTTACTTCCTGACGAATATGTTCGTGATCAGCTCGGCATTGCCTACAAGGTAATACAGAACGCTAAAAAACTCAACACCAAACGAATGAAGGTCTAGCTATTGAATTTTTCATAGAACTAAAAATGTAATTCAATACGAAGAATATCTTGTCCAACAAACATTTTTATTTTATCCTGATCGATGTAACCGATTTATTTACTGACACTCACGTTCGCTTCCAGTTTATATTGGTTCATCTACTTTACATATTATCTGATCTTAGCTAATTAATTCAGTTTTCAACTAATAATCGTATACTTCTTAGTCCTGCTCGATAATATCTTAATAGGAATAATCAAAATTGTCATGAATAAAACTCTGCACTACGCTGTAGAAAAAACCTATTCAATTTCTTATTAATTTTCAATGAATAAAACATATTAAAATATCATATTTCATTTATTTTAGATAACACGATACTTGTTATTTTAGTAATAGAATACGATTACAACTTTTTTCAAGAATTTTAATCTTTTTCTTCGATTGTTAACTTTGATAATTTGTGAGACTTAACTTGGTGCACATCTGGTGTGAGAGTGTTATGTTGCTAATAAACTATCAGGTGACATCAATAAATAAAACCTATCACTTTACTTTGTCCAGAGCATTTTCCAGTTTATTTTCATTAGAATCCATTGATATTAATTGCATTCATATGTTTTCTCTGACAACTCATTTAACTGAAACTCATGCTAGAATAAGATTTTTCTTGATAATATATAAAAATATTTTGAAGACTTTTGTCAATCGTAATCGTAATGAATGCACACGTTAAAGTATTTGTTTGTCAACTACTTGAAAGATTTGTTTTCTCGTACGATTATTCAAGATTGAGTACACTACAGAAAATAATTTCCAGACAGTTCAAACTTTCTACGAGGATCAATTAATAGACGCACTATTTAAACATACGTAGCATGGTACAAAAAATGAAACGGTATGTAAAAAAAATTAAGATTTGATCCTAGAATACATTCGTAAATGATCTTTTTGATCAATAGCAATTGAATATTTACATTTCGATTTCGAACTTATCGCAATTTCATAATACGAGAAAAATAGCATCGCTTGTGGATTAGAAAAATCACAGCAGACTGAAACTAGAAAATAGGGAACAATTTTATCAGCTACTAATTCTTCTCCTGTAAGACTCCATCTCCAATATGAACAGTTCACTGAATATTTGCATAGAATGACAGTTAATATTCTTGAACTTTTTGAGGTTTTTTCTTAGTATTACTAAATGCTATTGTTACTTCTATTTTTCAGCAAGCGAATTGCTTCCACGCTGAGCTCCATTGATGTCCTTTTTAAATTTTGTTTCGACTAGTGGTCATATAAGCGACGTTTTCTGTTTATTTCGCAATATTAACATTTATAATTATTTATTCTTTCGTTATCTTCATTGAAGAGAAGCTGTGCAAACAGAAGAAAAAAGAGCTGAATGAGCCAGAAAAAACTGATAGCAAATGCGCACACAAAGTTTCCTATGTACTCAAGCAGAAGTTTGAGATAGGTTCGAACAGATGATAGATAATTATTCTTAATTATCTAATCAAAATCGAGGCGAATCTTAGAAGATAGTTCATTAAAATTTCGCGAACAGAAACGTGTCACTGGATAAAAAAGAACTAGTTCTTGCATTTGTCGAAATTTGTTCTAGGAAACCATAATTGAAACAAACACTACAATCATAACTGAGAATAGAAATTTTTTGATAGCAAAATAGTGATGAGTTTCGCTTTTGATAGCATAAAATAGAATATTCTCTAAAAACAAATATATATGAGTAACGTTAGAACTCATTAGATCGACTTTTCAATCCTACTAAGTAGAAGTCTGCTGACGAATATGGATCTGACGTGAAGTTTACTACGGAGAACTGTACAGTAAGTACCACATCAGATTCTAACGGATGCAAAGCTACAAAAACGAAATTCATGACTGAAATTGTACCTTATTATTAAATAATTTCTTATAGGCAAAATCGTAGCGCTCGGTAGAAATGAGTTTTCACAACTAACAACACAATTCTACTACTCTATCATTCGAAGTCACAACGACTTGCTTGATATCTATCATATAGATATAGGTTGACACCGAATTAGATGAGTAGCTGCATATCTAATTACTTTTTTTTATAAATATTTCAAAACGAGGGAGTGAATGTAGGTGTTGCAGAGAGACGGGCATTATTAGCAGAATTCATCAATAATGCGATGAGAACATAGACACATGTATACGATTCATATGCACACCTTCTAACACAAGTGTAACCTAGGAATATTTATCCATCTAGCTATCTATCGATCCATCTAGAAATATAGAATCTACTAGTTTTAGCCCTGCGCTGGGTGTCTGCATACTTAGTCGACTGCATCATTGATTCTGTTATTTGAAAAAAATAGTCGATGGTAACTATCTACGAGGTTTATCATAAACTGGTTGACCGTTGGGACTTGCGAGTAAGAAAAATCGGCGTGAGTTTGAACTAGAGTATGGTGCTGAATTTGATAATTCTTAAAAAATGCATTTCTACTTAGGGCACGACTTGATTTAGCATATAAACCGTGCGGCTTTAATGCATTCTATTCTCGTTATTAAAACTGTTTACAATCGAATAACTTTCTTGCTACGAAACAAGTTAGTATTATATCAATGATAGCCACAGCAACTAACCAATTTAATGTCATTCAGATGATTTGCCACTAAATAAATGAAGATTGCCATTTAGCATTAGAGTTAAATTGACGAAATCCATTTGAAAAAGATCTCAGAATGTATCTGAACAGTAATGATAAAATTTTTGAACGAATCATTCTGACTGAGAGAAATGTTCATATTTTATCATGGCAGAATGGTGTGGGCACTCGACAAAAAATCTAATAAATACTTTTGTCACGATAATATAAAAATTGTAAGCATCATATCTGTTGAGATAAATACGTTTGTTAGCGTGATAGATATTGCATACGCATCTCTATTAATAATACATCTATGGTCGACTAGAACACCTTTTCATGTTTCATATCTTTTAAAATTTTTAACAATAACCATCCTAAGATCATCATTGCTCTACTTGAAACAATTTCTATCGCTGTCGCATAATAAATCATTCAGTAAATAGGTTATATTTATGTTAGAAATTTGAAACTATGAGTATATATATATATATAAATATATATATTGTTCTCTTCTCAGTTCTATTACTTGATTGTAGACAGCCATCAGATTCATAGCATTCGAAAAGTGCAACTTATTGGCTATTCATTCTTAATCTCATGGCATTCATCGAACTTTTAAGTCTTCGAAAAGAAAGGACCTTTAGCAAATATGCAACTAGCTCCTAGGGCATGTGTCATTAACTTCAAAACCTGTTGAAAGTTTGCCCGTTCGAAGAAAAGAAACATGCCAAACGAGCAATGTTGATTACTCCAGTAGAAGTAATCCTAGAACAATGACAGGTTCTAATACTTATGTCTAATGCTCAATGTCGGATATTTCTTTGAAAAGTAATTCTCAAATGACTTTTATTTGTATGCAACAAGTTTTTTTTAATGCTTTACATTAGATAATTACATATGCAATTTCACTGCCATAATTTTATAATAAATATGTAACATCACCTGAAAAATACTAAGAAAGAAAACTATCAGATTATCTGAAGAAGATATATAGACATATGAATAATTCATGTCTCTTGAATGTTTAATAAAATTTCTAAATACTCATTTAGTATGTTATTTCACGTATATTAGTTACTTATTAGACATCATATACGTATCAAATGAACTCTTGAAATGTTATCAAATATTTAAGTGCAATTTTTCGTTTGGCTAGCTTTCTGAAGGTGAATTTATTAAAACAATAAGTTCCATCATCAGTGTATTGCTTTTTTAGGAACTCAATAACTGGATTTCATTAAAAAATCATAGGCCATATTTATATTAGATACCCAACGAAGTGAATCATAAGTATTCATATGTGCATATTCTTTTTTCTTTATATTCAGAAGATTTTGAGGAATTACGAATGGAGTGCGTATATGTGACTGAATATATTCTTTTATGTCAAATTCATCGAATTGTGGTTTGCTTTTACGCATCCTATCGTATGACTGTACAATTAATTATCAAAATGTCTATTGAATGACCGGTTGTTTTCTTTTATTTGAGGTGTGACTTTGCATACAAACGTTTGAAGACCTCACAAATCTTTCCTACGATGATTATTGAAATTCGTATGATTTCTTCTCTCCAAAAATAGACTTTATTAATATGTATATAAAATAACATAGAAACTTAGTGTACATGTGATTCGTAAAAATCAATCCCTAGTATTCTATACAATGGTCTCAAGAACACATAAATACACTTTACATTTTCATTGAAAGTCTTTTGATATTTATTCAAGATAAAAGTATAGCTATAAAATATTCTATGAGGTTAGAAAAAAAGTAGCTGATACGCGACGTTATTCTAATTCTAAATAACCATTTGATACTGAAGACGTTATAGTCGATATTTATCAGATATCATTGCTTGCGACTGCAATCGACTGTGTAAACATTGCTTTTTCTTCGCCGTGTTGGTTAAACAGAAAAGTTTCTGTCGAGTTTCCACTTCCTAAGTAACAGTGATTTTAGATTTATATAAGCTAGATAGTAGTACAAAATTACATACCCCACGTGGTAATTTCTTTATTTATCAGTTCTTGACGTGTCGGCGAAGTGCCAGCACGATTTTTAGTTGATGACTTGGCAATAGCAGCGCCTTGCTTCGAAAAAATTCTCAATTCACAAGTTGACTGAAGTCGAACTCCATCGGGCACTGTATATCGGAGTTCTACCTTGCCGTCGATACGTCTTTTGAGCACCCATTTCGACAGCTCTATGACTTTATCTGGTGAATGATTCATCAAACTGATATATGCTCCATCGGGTGGGCATTCTCCTGAAACAAACAACAAATTTACTTTTTCTATTCCTATGAGCATTCTCACTTCTTATACTCACGAATGCCAACAGATCCTTTCTTTTGACTTTTCACAATGAATCTTCTTGTCAAAGTGCCAGTCGTCGTTGGAGGAGAAGGTTCATGTACTGTATACTCGTAAACGCCATAGCTATCCAATAGATGACGATAAACGATGATTTCACCTTCCAAATTTATTTTTCTAAAATAAATGAGTAAGATTATTTGTGAACTTTTCTTGAGACCTGTAGGAAGCTCTCTTACTTTCGTCGCATTTCTTCAATATCACAGGCCACTTGCATGACATTGTCTTGGAAGTTTTCTAAATCTTTCGCTAGAAATTCCAATCGTTCGCCATTCTGTTGTTGAATTGAATGATATTCAGATTCAATTTTGGCTTGATAATTAACCGGCATACTTATAAAGAACAAATTATGATGGTGACTTACCATATGTGGCTTCTAATTTCATGTAATTTTCTTTCTCATAAGAATAAATCTTGTGTACTTTTTCGTATTCGACTTGTAGTGTTTGTTGACTCAATGTGTACGTCTCGACGTCAGTTGATTGATAATGCGATGCTTGCTCCACTTCTATTTGTAATTCTTCCAACTGTGTTTTGTAATATCCTGCCATTTCTCGATTAAATGTACCATATAATTGTTCAAAATCACGACGAATACTTTTAACCACCTTGTCTAATTCCGATGTCCAGAATTGCTTAACATCAATCGTACCGCCTGCAGTCGATGTGTATCCCCTTCATTATAGAAAGAGAGAGAGAGACAAGAAGTTCTCAGATTCATGAATTAAACGCAACTAAAATTTTACTAACCGTGTTGAATGTGAACGTAAATTCTTGTAAAACGCCACCTGATTCTTCAGCATTTGCATATTCAATGCCCATTCTTTACTTTGTTTCTTCATGCGAGACCAATCTTGTGTTAGTCTCAAATATTTTTGAGAGGCATCATTACGTGCGGCAGAAAAACTTTCTACTTCTCGTCCTAGATCCGAATTCGATGCACGTAAACTATTTAAAGCCAATGCCGTTTGATTACATTCTTGTTCTAGTTTTGAGCGTCGATCATCTTTCCATTGCTGTTCAACTTCGATTAATTGCTGATAGATTGCCGTTTGTAATTGATACATTTCGACTTCGAGTCCAAAATCAATACTTCCATGGCTTACCGCAATAAGATCAGACTGTAGATGTAAATACCGCTCGTTCCATTCAATATCTGCGCCGTTGAGATCAGGTGTGGGCCGTCGAGTACTAATAATTTGTGCATTATACTTTGCATTTTGTGCTTCCAATTGTTGTACACGATCAACAAAATGGCGAAGTCGTTCATTTAATTCATTCAGCGCATGTCTATCATGTTGATACTGTGTCTGAAAATCGTTTTGAAGCTGCCGGAGATTTACGATCAATGATGAAGTGTAGGAAGGAGCTGGATCTAATTGCACATCTCGGCGCTGATATGTCACAACGGTATTATCGTTCTTGTTGTTTTCGTCCATGATGACGGTACGTGAATCAGACGACACTTTCTACAAAAAAAAAGCATTCATCGTCAGGCGACTGTGGCTTTTATACGTGTTTTTCGTGGTTAATTGCCTCTTTTTACTGTACTGAAGGACGAAGCAAAGATTTGATTTCATGTTTGTTTCGTTTCTCTTCTTTCTGTATTTACAAATGAAGAACTAACTACATACCGATCTAAATTTCAAATATGCTGCGTCTGTTCTCTTTCGTATTCACTACATACTTTAACATCGTCTCTCTTTCTCTCTACGTCGAATATACCGGACAAATATTGATATATTATTGATACTATTCTCGAGTGTTTGCTATTCTGTTCGAAGTGAATCGGACGAAGAGATCAATGACCTTGAATAAAATTATGTATTTTCGTTGATATGTGTATCACATCCAAGAGCTCATAACTGAAATAAAAATGGCAGTCTTTAAATATAAAAACTAGAATCAGCCAATGATCGAAGAGAACATTGTGTTGACTTTTACCAGGTAGCACAACCAAAAAATGAAACAAAGTGGAATAAGTGTATTTTCTTATTCTTATTAATGTAAATCATTGAAAAGAATGAAATTTGCACTCATCTCTAACTAACCAAGTTTACACTGACTGAAAGTCAGATGCACAATCTTCAGCTTATTTTTCGCTCTTAGTTATTCTTTATGAAGGTCACTTTTATCAAATTTCTTTGATTCGCTGCGGGAATTCTCTAAAAGTAGTTTACTTTGCTACATGGTCCAAACTTAATCTTTCATTACTACCCACACTTTAGTTCTTCATTGATGTTTGGAGACTCCATGCGGATCCATCCATCCATAGTAATAGAGTAATAACTTTACACTAGTCACAATTTTGCTTTGTATGATATTAAGGTTTAGATTCCCTTTTTTACTATAAAGACAGATATTTCAATTCCAATGATGGCAATATAGCTATACAAAATATCGGCATAAAATCATTTCGAATATATTTTTTTCATAGCATAGGCGATACATGAAAACAAAATGTTAGCTTCGAACATTCCAGTCTAAAGTAGTAGATCAATGCGGATATGTTATAATATACATATCTAATCACCTATCAATAAACAAGAGAAGCATTATTTCTTTCAGTGTCTTTATTTTTGTCTTTCTCATTTTTATCTTTTCAAAACATATTGAAACTTCAGGGTATTTTTGTAAAATTTATTAAACATTACAACTTGAATGATGTCTACTACTATTCCTATGCACAAGACTTGACATTTAGTACTTTATATTTCAGTCAAAACACCATTACCAACTACTTATATCGAAATATCAGAAAAGTAATCAAAATTTGTCTGATCTGTAGTCAATTTAGTTATGAATGTTGGCATGATTGTGTAATGAAATGATTTTCACATGTAGAAATAAAACTTCACGACAAGAAATAAAACAATTTCACATAAAGATGTAATGATTGACTGTGTAAATGTCTCATAACTAAAGATTTTCGAATGATGTAAAGATTCGCGTATTCCAAGGCTAAAGTAGCGCTTGGCTCATAACTCCTCTATTTATTATTCAAACAAATAAGTGTTTGTGTTTAGGATTTTGCCTGAAAAAAGTTTTATCTGTGATAAAATTTTCAGCTACACAGCTCGTAATTTCGATTCGTTTTGTTGTATTATCACAACTATTGAATGACAGTTCTTTTATGTGTCTATAGATAAATGTCTATCAAGATCTAATTATTAACTTTCGACCAATGTTCTCAACATTGCGACATGTTTTTCTCATGTAAATATGATTGATTCCCGTGGAATATGTTATCATGAATAATTCAATCAGCTTTATAATATATGGCTGGATTAATCATTGTATTCATTTTTCTAAGTTTCTAACAGAAGTTTATCCAGAAAAACAACAACAGATTGACTATAGGATGTTGCATACGAATGAATGAGCTGAATCTATGTATGATGTTTCAATCCTTCATTCGATCTCCTTCTCTTGATTCAATTCAATTTCAATGCAAAAAAAGACAACAAATACAATATTCAGGACGTTTTACTTTATCTTATTAAGAATGAACCGATTGTTGACTAACTGCATATACTTTTACAAGCTCTTTTTCTTTTATTGATGCTTGTTCTCAAGAGTTATTATAGACAATAAATCGAAATTAAGATTATCATTGCCTAAACTTCAACTCTTTTTTTACGTCTAATACCCACTTAGTAGATATTGTCTATCAGCAATATTTCCAAAAGCTCATGATCAAAAAAAGAAAAAAACACGTCTATCACGTCGATTATACCATCAGATGGTAAAATGCTTCAATTTCATGAAAGCACACTGTAAAAAGCCACACTTAATGACTGTATATGACGAATATTGATACTCAAAACATTAATTACTTTATATTGATTGTAGTATCATCAAGTTTTAGCCGAATCTGATTTTTAATAAGGTGTCAACATTTATCTGAATCCATTTAGATGATAGGATAGAAGTATTCAGTTGGCAATACAAAGTTTACAGTTTTACATGATACAAATTCATCCGTGTTTGAAACGGATTCCAACTTCAACAAGAGAACTGTACAAGTGACAAGAGAATCGGTACTCTAGTTTCTTACTCTCTAGAACTAGTTCGAGTGTCATCTGATGCATCAAGTACGAATAAACCGCACACTATGAGCTATCGAAATATTGGCATTATGGAACTATTTTACAGTTCCTAAACATAAATGAAAAACTAACATTATTAACTAAATTACTTTGACTTTGTGAATAAAGGTTGTCTTGAATCTGCTCAATCTTGTCAGTAACTTCAATTATAAAAGTATGCCTGTGCTAATGCTACATCTTTCGTGTTTTATTGAACTTAAAAAAATATTAGTACACATATCGAGGGGAATATTGGCAATTGAAAATGCTTCCAATGACTGAGTGTCCGTCTCATGACAGAAAACGTTGCATATCATTATTTAATTAATCCAATAGCTATTAACAGAGGGCATATTATTTTAATTTTTATAGTAAAGATGCTTAAAACTCACTGAATATTTTCACTACATCCACTTTCAATCCTATATTATTAAACAAAAAACCCATTGCATTATAAAAATGACTATAGAAAAGCAACAGTATTTGATGGACGGTTTGCTAAAACAGAATTTCAGATAAATGCAGTGACTTAAAATGATTTAGTTCAGCTTTGCTGAAGGTAACCTATTTGATACCTAGAATTGATGTGCGATTATTAATGATGTATAAAGTGATATTGATGTTGTTTTTGTTATTTTTACCTTTACCTATAACTGTCACGTTTTCATGACACAGAACATGATTAGGAAGAGTACCAGAAATGTACGAAAATATGCTTCTCTTTGAATAGATATGTGAAAAGTATTATTATTTGCAGCTAGAAATAAATGCAAATCGTCCGCTTTACTTATCTACTTGAAATTCGCTAGTAGATACATGTTTACTATAAAAAATCTGTATTCATTCTAGAATTTTGTTTTATTTTATATATGATTACCATGATGGTACAAGTTTTTTATATAGATTTTCCTCTACTATGTGAGGTAAAGTGTTAAATATTTTAACGCTGAATAAACGCATAATTACCGGTCTCAGCGTGCTGCGCCACATTTTTTTTATTGTGCAACGAACTACAAGATTGAGGGTGATGATTGTCAAAGTATTTTTGGTTATAGATTTTTTCTCTTTTCTTTTCTTTTTGTCGTGCCTAAAATTTGCAAGCCATTAATCAAAACGTATTTTGTATTTATCGGTTCCCTATCGGCTCTATCGAGTAAGCAAACAAAAGAATATAAAGCATTAACAAATAAACGATCATGCATGATGGTAGAATAGTTGGTCTTGCTACTCCATGTCTCGTGCATGGTTGTACGATACGAAATGAATCTAGCACTAGTGTCTATGTACGATTATTATACCAACCAATCAAAAACCAGCAACAAGTATTTGAAAGGCGTACTGAATTTCAACTAGCAAAAGGTGGTGAAACACATATTAAAGAAGAAGAATTTGATAAAGGTTCATTTCAAATTCGTGAAACAATTCAAACGATTGAAGTAACTCGAGCAGATGGAAGAATACAGGAGATCAATGCACCGTTTGACAAGGTCGACAGCATTGAACTCGATTGGCTTTTTATCATTGATCATGCAAATATTCGATCGGTCAAACAAAACAGTTGAGAATATTGTTTCCAATGAGTATATTAACACTGGAATATTCAGTCTATGTTATACCATAACACCTATATAATACTATGATGTCATTCTTTTTAATTGTAGAAATATAGTTTTGTTTCAATAAACTACTCGTGTACTTTGAATAGCTTTATTTAAATACCAGAATTTCGAAGTTAGCTTAATATCTTTAGTAGAATGTATCAATACTACTTAGAAACTAACGTACTAAAAAAACCTAGGGAATCAATGGCTTAAAAACACAGTAGATTAATCAAAATGATAAAAATGTTTAAAAAAAAGAAACCAAAGAAGAGAAGCAATGTGTTTATGCTGATTTTTATGAAGCTTCTAACATTTATATTCGTTTTTTTTTCTTTTCTTCTCATTTACTTTATTCTATATTAATATTTATCGTCATGCAATTAGTATGTTTATTTTCCTACGTGCTCTAGAGAAAAATACATACTGTACTTTTGAAAACTTTCTTTGAATTACATATTTTTATGTTTAAAGGAAGATTGTGTACTGCCAGAATGGAAATCTCTTTGAAAAGAGTAGAATCTATAATTTCTAGCAGTAGTAAAACACTTTTGCCTGCCATACATAAAAATCTAAAATAACAGTAGAGACTATATTGTTGAATTTGAAATTATCTCATTGAACTTCTCACACTCACGCGTGACTTAATATAGCAGTACTTGTGTGTGTGTGCTCAAGCTATGAACAGACCAAAAATGAAATGGGATATTATGAAAATACCAACCTCTATCATAAGACTGATTCTTACTTCTTTCATCATGAATTACTGTAGCATTGAATTTCATTACACTATCCTTCAAATAGAGTTGATTAGGAGAGTTTTGGTATTCACACACTTACCATATTTGATAAAACTTGATTTGCACGCAAACACACATTTATTTTTATAAGATTTATAGCGGAACTAAATAAGAACCATACAAACATATAGACTTGATAGTTCTGCGTCAAGTCACTACAACACACTCACATTTACACACGAACCCGAGGGGAGAAAAGCGGATCGCGGGATTATGGGATCTTCTGGATTATATGGATCGCCACCATATCCCGGCTACGAGAATATCATGAAAATAGAAAAGATCTGAAAGTGAAATGACGTATTCACGAATCCGAGTTTTTTTCTTGAATAAAAACGGTGATGTAAAAATTACCGAGTACCACAGGTAATATGTCGTGCAGAAGTTATTGTAAATGATTTAACAAACATTAAACATTAGAAAATCAATGGATTTTCCGTAATAATAAAGCTAATAATTATTTTCTAGTTTAATAGTAGATCGAGTAATATTTATTGATAAATATTTTCAAAAAAGTACAAATCATTTACAAAGAATAAAATATACTTTGTATGATTCTTGTACGTTTTTAGTCTGATATAGACAACGGAACAAGTGATCAGCTTTGTAAAATATCAACAAAACTATCAGAAGATACAAATATGTGTCGAGCTTCTGTTGCTACCATATGTGTTTTTTAATTCATCATATTTTGACTATAAATAAAAAAAAATTGTACATCAGAAGATACGTCGATTAAATATGATGTTCTAATCAATGAGCTATTTGACATAATTAGAATTGTTCATTCAAATATCGGTCATCGCGGTATCAAAAATATTTTAAAAGAAATTAAGAAAAAATGTGCTAATGTTACAGAAAAACAAGTTAAATTATTCATTTCTGAATATCATAAATGTAAAGTTAAACGTGCGAAACCAAAAAAAACCATATAGCTCAGTAGTACATTCAATTATCTCAAATAACTTCAATTCACGTGGTCAAGTAGATTTAATTGATATGTAATCCTGTTCTGATCGTTAATTTATATTTATATTAAATTACCAAGACCATTTTACCACGTTTTGTATTTTAAGATCGATGAAGACAAAAATAGCAGCAAAATTTGCTTATCATCTATTTGATATATTTACTACATTAGGTGCTCCTGCTATTTTACAAAGTGATAACGGGCGTGAATTAGTCGCAAAAGATTATCGAGCAATTAGCATTAATACGGAAAGATGTTAAAATTGTGCACGGAGAACCTCGTCGCCCACGATCTCAAGGATCTGTCTAAAGATGCAATCAGGACACGCAAAAGTTACTAGGTATGCCATTCCAACGGAAGTTGTTGTTTTATGTCTTGTTTGTTACTTAGGAACATTGATTCGTGAAAAAATTGCACAAAATGGACCTGAAGCTTGCGCTTGGTACAATTTCAAAGAACTCTCGTTTTCATCGAGTATTAAAACATAGTTCATATTCAGCTTTACTCGACAGCTAACCAAAACCAGGATTATATTGCCAACATCGTTACATCCCAGAACAATCATTCGGACCGCCGGAACAGTCATCTTAACAGGCCTGAAACGGTCATAAAATGGTACAATAAGGGGTTAATTTTCACCTTATTTCGCCGTAATTCGCCAGCTCGTTTTACGGACCGTTTTTTCCGCTAGAAAATGGCCATCGTTTTTAACAGTATATTCGTCGTTTTGCGAGCTGACGAAAAACGGCGCCGTTTTTCAACGTTTTATACCGTTTTTACGTCTTTTACGGCCATTTACGCACCGTTTTCTTGGACCTGGGATATGCTTCTATTTTTAATAATATCACACCAGAAGGAGAATCAAGAGGGAAACTGGGTACACCAATAGCTGGTACAGTGGAGATTAATCAATGTACAAGTGATCGTGAAACAGAAGATGAATTTGATGTTATTGATGGATTGTTAAATAAGAAATTGAATGTTAATATTGGATTAGCAGATGTTGGTGAATTGAATGTGACTGAGAAATCGACAGATAATATTGATTTAAACATTATTATACAAGATGAAAAAAATTCTGAGTCACGTATCAATCGAATTAAAAGAACTAATGATATTTGTGAAACTGTACAAGAAGGTCAAAAACGACAAGCTCATGAACTTTTACAGAATACAACAAAGCCACAAAAGTTAGCTAATTTGAGTGTTTGTGACAACGTTGTAAGTAATATTTATTCAAATATTGTTCATCCAACAACAAAACTGTTTATTTAGTTTGTTCCAGTGCCGCAGATGTTGATCGTGGTCCAACCGATGCACGTAATGTGCTCGTCGTTTTTGTTGAAATTAAACATGAAAAATTCAAATTAGGTACAGAACAACGTGTACCTTTTTGTCTACTATGATTTCCATCAAATGACAAAAGCATCTGGAACGTCGACATCATTAATTGAAAATATTGAGCAAGATGTTCAAAAATCATTAAGAGAAATAGTGAAGGTTCAGAGAGTTACTGGCGGACAAGGATTCTTGAAATGTTCATGTAAAAGTGGTTGTAAAATTAGCAGATACAAGTGCAAGCAAACTAAAGTATATGCAGCGCACAATGCCACAATTCATTAATATGTGGTAATAAATAGCGTACTACAAAGAAAATATGCACATTATTTGCATTTTGTTATATTCTTCCTCGTCTGATATCTTGCATATGTTTTTAGTGAATAAACTAAACTTATAAAACATTCTTTTATTTTTCAAGCGCGAAAGATTCAAATCATGTTAAAAATACAAATAATTGAAATTGAGTCGGCCTTATCATCCCAGCGGCCGCAAACTTGTAGATCACCTTGAACGAATATTTTTTTCTTCAATACGCCATTCTTGTATTCATCTTTGTGTGGTACCATATACTCGTCACCATTGCGAATTTTGATCACATTAGCATTTGGTATTATCATATGAATCAAAACTTGTTCATTCTCACATACAAGACGTTGAAAAGGCTCAATTAAAATACAGCGATGTTCTGTAAAAGTTGCGTATGTAATTGGAAACATGAATGCATCATCTATGTTTGATACACGTAAACGCATATTGATCGCTTCGAAATATGTGGTTTCCTCATTTGTTTTTGCAAAGATAGCTATTTCGTAGAGGCCATCGAGTGGTGGTGCAATGTAGCAATTGTAAATATCGGCTTTGTTCTGATCTCGTTGGCATAATGTATGTAAACTGCGCGGATATTCAACGTCTCCAACTTTCAATGCAGCAAATAGATCAATATGTGCCGGTGCTTGAATTGCGATTTTAAATATATTTTGATTTGTCTCATTTAAACCTTGCTTTGGTGATAGCAAAGTTAAACCAAGTTGATGATAAGTAGACTTCATTACTGGCAAACTAATAAATTCTTCTTTGGTAATTTCCGGTTCGAGTAATTGATATCCATTGACATAATGTGTATAGATAAATTCTTCAGGCGATGTAAGAAAGTAGAAGTCTTCGAGTTTATTCTTATTATCTCTACCTCCTGCACCCCATGTTGGATCTATTAGATAAGTGTACTGATCCAGTACAATACTATTCCAGGCATGAAGAGATTGCTGGAGTTCTGCACGTGATTTAACAAAAGTTTGTTTTGCATTGCCTGATATTTCAGAGCATTCAATTCCTAAGAGTGAGCAACACTCGTGATAGAGACTAACAAAGCCTCGGCAGACGCCTTGTCTTGTGCGAAATACAGTATCAGCAGAATTATTATTGCAATATGGTTTATATTGAATATTTTGACCTACCCAACAGAAAAGTAACCACGCACATTCTAAATCATTAGTTCCGCATTTTTTGATTGCAACAGCAAGGTCAGCTATGGATTGTATCGTTGTCCATTGTTTCACAACATCACGTAATCGCTTGTTGGACACAACGGCTTCACGTTTTTGTCGAAAGTTAGCATCTATACGTGTCTTTTTAGTATCAGCAGCAATTTTAATCTCTCGATTGTTAATGATAACAATTGGCTTTCGCTGCCGTATTCCTTTCGTCGTCGTAGTAGTAGTTGAAGGAAGAGAAGGAGCAAGTGTTGAATTTTGTTGATGCTTGAGAGCATCAGCCACAGTTTGTTTGATGACATCTCGTACCAGTGCAGATTGTTGTTGTACGACTGCATCGACTAGCGCTTGTTTTAGATCAATAAATAAACCTTTTAATTCAGTCGATTCATCACTTTTCTTCGTAACATGCTTCTGTATTGTTTGTAAAAGAGTACCTTGCAATCGATCCATTGTATCAGCTTGCAAGAATGTTGCTTGATGAATATCATTATTACCAAGAAGACTGTTGCGTAGTGTTTGTTCAGTTGTTTCAACTAGAGCTCTTTCAAACTGTTCATAATTCGATGAGCTTCTTGATGTTGTTGTTGATCTCGTGGAATTAATCAGCGAAGAATCTCGGTGGTCATCCGTCTCAAATGGTACTAATGGCGATGGTGTTCGTTTACTGTGTCGATGATGCTTTTCGCGTTGATTATCAACTATGGTTGTTGTCTCTACAGAGTCTTCGTCGTCTTTTGCACGTAAACCACTGGTTTGCGGCTTTTGGCTATCGATCACGGTCCCTTTACCATGGCGATTCGGCCTTGATGGAACTGGTGTCGTTCTAGAAGAACTGATGTCACTATTTTGTTTAGATTGTCCTACTGCTTGACATAAATCGTCGATTTCATTGAACACACCTTTTACTTTCATATATGCTTTTGCCCACTGTTCGTGATGCGCTCTATTGTGACAGAAAATAAAGATGGAATCTAGTTCAGTTGCATCATGAACAGCCGGTACTGTGTTTTTGCCCAGACCCCCAGAGACAATCAGAACAATTTTTCTATTGTTCATCTCATAGAGAAAGTTGACAAAAAGATCGCTTTCAGAGAAGAAATCAATGGAAACAAACATATTTTGTAGATAATTGAATGCTTGGGGAAATTTTGTCTTGAGTTCGTGAACTTCATCAGCCAACCAGATCAAATGAAAGTTTTTGTTAGCAGTCTCTGCGCTCGTCGTACCAAAATTGGGCTCAGGTGCAAAAGCCGCGGCACCTTTCAACAGCAAAAGAAAATTTGTTTGTTATGCCTTTATAAGTGGAATAACTACCTGCTGTTAATTGTTTCTTACTCATATCGAAAAAAATCTAAAAAATTGTAAAATCGTGCATGTCATAAAAATCAGATCATTTTCAGGAATAGACTGACATTCAATAGCAAAATTTGTGGCTAAAGTGTCAGTAATCTGAAGAAAAGTAACGAGTTTGAAGAAGATAATAATCGTTTGAACTCTGTAACAGATTTGGGAATCTGGTTACTTAAGCTGGCCATTTTCTTCAGATTTCATCATACAAATGATTTCGCGCATTTTCTTATCAAAAAATTCAAACCCAGTGTAATAACATAGTTGTGGACACACCTTTTCTGCGATTCTTCGTCTAGTTGTGCAACATTACATCAGCATTATTTCATTATTTTCTTTTAATCTTCAAAAAGTAAATTAATTCACAGCTAATCTATACATGCTCCAGTTTAAACATTAAATTTTCTTTTCGTACTGATTATAGAAGTATTCTACGCTTCATCTGAAAATTTATAAAAGTTAAATCGTTAGTGTTATCGTGCTGTTGCTTCCATTGTATTGAAAGACAACCATTTCACACTTGTTCACAACCTAGGGACCTCAAAAATCAAAACAAAAAGTCGTTTAGATATTGAATCGAACATTATTTTTGATGATTTGCTATTTTAGTAAAATTTTTCAAGTAAAATTCACAAACATCATGTCATTGTCGTTATTGTTGAAATCACTGCATATCAAACGCAAGTCATATTTTTACTTCAGCAAATTCTCTGCGGTACCTCACTATTATGGATGCTGATACATGGCGAGTATCGCTATCGGAATGTAAATGATCAACGAATGATTTTACCTGCTCAAGAAAAGCATTATTTTCTTTTGTGGATTGTGTTCTTCTTTTTTTCAATTCTGCGTGAGATAGGATATATTTAGTTCGTTACTCATCGAGGATGTTTTCTCGTTTCCTAGAGAGATTCACAATGGATACCAACAAAAAATGAAGTCGTGCTACATAAAAACATTTAAAAAAGAGAGCCCCTTCAAAATACTATTTGTAGACAGGCAAACTTTTTTTCGTTTTTTCTTGTGCGCATAGTTTATTAATTTATTCAAGGAATGGAGAACATAAATAAGTTGCAAGAAAAAAAATCTTTCATTCAGTTGCGCTTCACTTTCAAAATGTTCGTTACACCAAACATGGGCAACTCGGAAGTGCTTCAGGCGTCTTCTCATAGAGCATGTCTCTCTGTTCTGTTGTGTAAATAAAAAACACAAAATCAATACAGGAATAATGAAAACATATTTATATTTAGTCCAAAGGCTGTGGAAAACAAATATTTTCATATTTATCGAAAGAAACGAAACAGATATCTGTGAAATCATAAGAATATAAGTTCTACGTTCAAGTCTCATTTTTTTTAAGACCATACTTTAATTGAGATATTGTTTCAGATAGAATTGTAGCTACTATTTTGGAGATTCGAAGCAAAAATAATTCCTATGACTCACCAAAAATAAAAGAATTCATGCTTTGAGATTTGTCAACATTGTAATCTGGCTCTTCCTTCACTTGATTATTAGAAGATCTCCTCATAATACGAGACCAAATTGTAAAGAATTATGTGGTACTTATAAACTGATACATGGATCTTGTAATAAGCTCTTCATTTATATTCTTTTATCGTTTTTTTTGTCGAAATATTTGCTATATCATAGTTCATACGATTTTAAAGCAAATCTTTATCTTTTCTTTATAATGAATAATCAGATAAAATGAAGATTTTTCGGGATTATTCATCGTGACTACGAAATAAAAATTGATATTGCTGTATACGACATATTTTTCTCTAACAGGGATAGTGTATCATAAAGAAATATCTCTACAACCAGTTTCAGTCAACTTTGAAATGATCTAGATTTACCATCTTTCATGACATTAATAATCAACAACACGATTTTGAACTCAAAGTATGCATAACTATATGTCTGCTTTAGTATGGAAATACTTGTGATGTTTGACACTGTATTAAATAATTTTGAAGAATGAATAAAATGTTATACGTACTAGAATTCTATTAAAATACTGTAAAAAAGTTATAATACACTAATAATTCTCGGCTTTACTAATTGCAGCACCTATTTTTCAATCTGACATTTATCGCTATGTATGGATACCGGTAATATATGTTCAATAGTAAGTAGGTTGTGCACGCAAATAAATATTGTTTCTGAATAAATACGATAGGAAACCATGATTCTTTCTATTGGAACTTTTACTGTCGACGTAAATAGTGATCACAATTTTGATTGATAGGGAACATGTTGAAACTAGTGATAAAAATTTCGTAGGGTAAAAGACTCGACAGAAGTTCAAGTATGCATTTAGATGTGTTAGCGTAGCTGAGCGCTTGGCTTTTCTCATTGTTGTTCTTCTAAGCATTTCATATTTACAAGTGTCCAATCAACATTGATCAGTATACGAAGGCATCTCTATGAAAAATTCTGTAAGGAATATCCTAGGAAAATTTTAGCTTTCCACTTTTCAAACTTTTAAAAAATATTTACACGCTTCAATGTTTTCATGGCAACACATAAATTGACTACACTTTAGAGGCTGTATTAAGTAACTTAAGAAATGATCATAAAAGCATTGGAACTCGCCTTATGCTCACATTTAACGTTAAAATCAAGGTCTTATAGCTATTTTTACTGTGATCATCGAAGACTGTAACTCTTGGTTTGCGATCACAGTAAATGACCGACAGATGCAGGTTTTTTTTCATCGTAAATTATTAGTAATAAAGTCGTAAAGTAGCGACCATGAATACTTCTTAATTCAGTATATTTTGTTGGTTTTCAATGTTACAATTTATTGTTCTCCATTTAAAAGCGTGATTCTTACCTTTGTTCTTTACTTTTCGTTTGTCTTTGATTCGCGTAATGAAAGATAACGCAGTATAAAGTTTTATAGACTGATTAGATAATAATAAACAACAAAAGTTATCTATATGAATGTGCATACTTTGGAGTAGATAAAAAAACGTTTGCTTTTAAAATATAGCCGAAGTGTTGTGCTTTTGATGATTCGTTTGAAATCAAATTTTTATACGAAGCATAGCACCTATAAAGAAAAAACCGATGCAACTAATTTGAAGTTTATAAGCAACTGATCGAATTTTGTTTTAATAAACATATCGTTAGGATTCACTAAAATTCAATGACTACCTATGGGTGTATAATTGTGTAAATGCTTCTTAGTATCTAATCGAAAATCAATTTTTCAGTGGATACCAGAACTCCGCGGGATGCTGGATCGATCCCATCCCGGGACACGATGGTACGATAAATTGCAAATATGACAGGACGGGACTGGATTGAACATGATTCCTCACGGAACGGTATGGGACGGGACCCGATCAATTCCCTTATCTGTCCCGCCAAGTTCATAGAATCAGAGCCAATGGTTTTGCGCAAATTTAGCGGAGAGGGCAAAGAGGAGAGGCAGATCCCGGTGGATCCTAGAATCTGGTAGGATCCTCCAAGTTCCATCTTTCGGCACTGATTTCAAATTATTGTAAAACTAATTAATTTTTGATGGATTAAATTAGACTGAAGTTTACTCAATTAAAATATGTTCTAATAATTCTCCTTAGATTCTAATAAATCTATTTTACAATTTATTAACGTTCATTTGTGCCCATAATAGTCCTTCTGTATCCGACAGGATCCACATTATTGTTTTTCATTAAAAATCAGTGCACGTTGCTAAACTATAGTTGGGATGAATGTATTTCAGCGAGAGTTAATATATCTCAATTGATTTATGAGGATTCTATTAGTTATTGATCAACTTTGGTACTGCCGAGCGAATCAGCTCTAGGATCCAACCGAATTCATGGGATCCACTAGGGTCCAAAATCCGTCTTTCTCCCTGCATAGCTGGTTTTATTATGATGGAGCATAGATCTTCAATTAATCTAATAAATCTTAACGACGTATTTTTTCTTAGATCAGTTACTCGAGAAGCCGTACTTTCACTTGTGTTTATTGTTGCACTTCTTTATTCTTTTAACAGCGACTTTCTCATGTCAGTGCCATAGTGGTAGAATTTTTTTCCATGTAAACGCTATCGTGTAATACATAAATAGTAAAACGAATGAGTTTCATTGAACAAGAAAGTGTGAATTAGCCAGTATGTTTCAATTACAGTTTTAGATAAAAAGAAAGGATTGTGTTTATACGTTAAAATACTACGGGGATGGATGGGGTAGGACGGGACAAGGCAGCACGGGACGCAGGATGGGATGGGACAACTGTTTAGTCGTCCAGTGGAGCTCTGGTGGACACTAATTTGAAAGTTAATCTTCAGTCAATCAATAGCTCGATCATAATTTTCACAAGACGAAATAATTACTTTCATCTGTATATCTTATTGTACGATGTAAACCATCTTGATAGATTTGGAACATTACTAGAAACAATGTCTAATGATCATTACTATGCCATAAGAATCCTGTGTTGCATAGTTTCCATTCATATTATTTTATTTAACGATGCTGATAAATCCCTACTCCCATGGCCGATTATAATTCCAGGGTTGTTTCAAAGATTGGATAATATTGTAGATAAGTGAAATTTTTGATATCGTGCAGACAACTTTTGCCACAACTAATCGGGAGGTCTGTTTTGATTACATGTGCTCTATTAATATCATTCCCATAAAGTGTATTACTATTAAATCACACGGACTTGAAATAATGGTTTAGATGAAGTAAACCTCAGACAAATATGCTCTTTCTTACTGAATATTTTATTCATTGGACATGATCATTTGTTAATCTTTTTTTCTCGAAATGATGCGTTTTGACAATTTTCAGTACTGAATATGTTCGATTTCAGCTCGATCTTAATAGCAAATAATCTACATACAACAGAAACTATATGTAGGAAAATCATTGATTAGCAACGGTTGGTATCTAATGTAGTCAAGATTATGTAAAAATAGTAAACCAATACTAATTTTCTTTGACTGCAATTAGTTTTTACCTCTTTGCAATAAAAACTGTTCTAACACATTTTAAATTAATTGAAAAAAAGTAGAATAACTCAGTAGCTAAAGCGGTAGCTTCTAGGTTAGAGTGTGGGTGTGACTGTTAGTTTTCGTTTAATTGTTCCTTTCAGTTATGACTTTCGTGTTAAACAGAAGTTATAATATATGTATGGTAAAAATGGTTAATCATTGATGTCTAACGTCGACATCGATGGTCGATGTCGTGTTATCGTCTAATCTTGTGTCAAATGCAGAACTCTTCATTTTTAGGATAATGAATTGAACAAAAAAAGAAGCTTCAATATTTTGGCATCCGTGAACACTGAGAAAATTCCATAACGAGTGTCTGTTGTTAACTTGTATTGTTTCTTGAATTTACACATTTGCTTTTGGATCTGCTCGTTATTTCTCATGTTACTCATGCATTAAAGTAAAAATGTATTTCTTTTTCACATATGCCATTAGAAACACTTGAAAGCACATGACAAAACAATTCTCATTTTAGTGCATACAATCACTTTCAATGTTGCAATCGATTCAACTATTTTGACAGTCATTCACACACATGTGATAATGGGAGGTAACCATAATTTACATTTCATGCAGTTTATTAAGCCAAATTTTGTTTAGGATGCATTTCAAAAAACGTTCGAGTTGGACCTCAAACTCAATCGTCTAAAGAAGCTCTTTTTGGTTAGTAATAATCAGTTATTGACAAAAGAAAGTAAAAATCATTTTTCTTTCTTGAAGACCAACAAAGCACTTCAAAGGCTACTCACTACATTTATGCTATAGACAGCTTTTTTTTAAAGATTTTATGGGTAATTACGTGCGTAAAAAGTGCCGATCATTATTGAAAAAGTGACAGAAATTGAACTTAAAAATGACAAAGTTTTACAATTAGTGAACGTCTTTTTTGATACCACACTCCGTAGTTTGCTTCTCATTTGAAAATTAATGATTGAAATAATGTATGCAAAATTTATGTGTTCGCTTTTCAATCCGAAAACTTTCCTGAAATGAGCAGTGTTACGACCGAAGTGTTCCCCTTCGATCGTAAGACGGAAAAAAACGAATAATACGCGCTCCTTTCTAGTATAGTGGTAGTACAGCTGTCCGGAAAGCAGAAGACGCTGGTTCGACTCCATCGGAGGGAGATTATCCTTATATTCCGTTCTGTTATCATACTATCAGGTTGCTGTCTCGCTGATAACTGAGTTTAATAATGTGAGAGAAAATAATACATAACAAGCAGTCATCCTATTCCGCAGTGTTGAACATTCCGGAACCAGTTCCATCTCCGGAATTAGTTCGTCCGATTCCCGGAATTCCACGGAATTTAGTTCAATTCCTGTTCGAGCTAATTCCCGAAATTGTGTACAGGAATTGCAGGGTGTAGATGTTAATGTGGGTGTTGCGACAAGTGTGAGTGTCAGTGCGGGTGCACTGGATTTCGGGAATTAGATGGAATTGGTAGGTAGTGATTCCCGGAATTCCGGAACTGTGTTGGAAGTGATAAACGGAATCGCCGGAATTAGATGGAATTGGTTTCGTGAGCGGAACTGGTTCCGGAATGTTCCCCATTGTGGAATAGGATGTATTCTCCATTAGACTCAGATAATTTAGATTCGACATTAGCAAAGCATGCATGTTGTTTTGCCTTATAATTTTGAAAGAATAAAAAAATAAACATTGAAAGCGTACGTAAAAGTTCGACAGTGCAGATTGTCAATATGAAAAAAATATAATTGAGGTTACTGAAGCACGTGTTCGAAAATATTCAAATAAGTAACAGTCAAAAGACGAAAGTTGAGGCCCGAAATCATGATGCACAGTAAACACAAAAATTAATCATATTTCTTCGATCTGAAAAAACAGATTAAGAAATATCTAATGTTTCTATTTTTACTTTTAGTATCCTTTTTTGTCATTTTTCTTTTTAGTTCATGGCTTCTCATGTGTAAATTAATCATAAGTCACATCATATGGGCTATTAATAGCGGAAATAATACAACCTACACGATGAAGGGAAAACTCCTTAGAAATTCAGGGATCAAAAATTCGAAGCAACTTTCTATTTATAAATTATGAACCAAAACCTTTTTTTTAAAGTTAACCTGCCCTTTTTCTACAATCAAGAGATCAAGAATCGGTTTGAATATCTTTTCATTTAAGATTATGAGAACCGACCGAAAATGAGATTCCCACTTGTCATGTTATCTTGTTTTCATTTTCAAGATTAATTCATGTCTATGACTAAAGTTCTAAGTTATCTATTCTTACATGACATTACAAAATGCTGTGTCTGCACATAAAATAAAAATCTCTCTCATTCTCTGTGATATCATTTAGAAATCACGTTCATGTTAAATTGCTTATATTCTGTTAAACATTTCAATAGTGCACTTGTAATTTTTAATAGTCCATGATTTCTACAATATAATATCGGTCATGAAAAGCAAAGAGAATATTTTGTCACGCTTTGATAAGCCGCTAAGCTTTCTTCTTATAGTTCGTGTGAGAAAAGAACCAGTCAAAAAGCCAATTGAACCAACTTCAAATAATCCTACGTGCCCTGTTAATAATAGTTCATTTCATCAGAAATATTTTGATTTTAATATTCTCGCACACTATTTTCCAAATAGAAACAACATAATTGGATAGAGACATTGTTAGAATTATTCCTTTCGCATGTGTACCTTTTATTCAAGTGGGAAAGTAAATTGTTCAAGTGAATAGTCGACAACATAGCAGGATAGAGCACTGGCCGTGATAATCGTCGAGATTATTCATTTAACACGAGCTGATGAAGGAATACTAGAAATGTCAATCATCGTATAATTTTTCACACAATTATTAAACGAATCTATGTGAGTAATAACTTTTTAATTTTTGTATGATCTTAAACATTCTATAGAGTTTAAGAACATGTTCGTCACTGATTAGAAAGTTCCTGAACGTTAGTTTGATTAATCTATTCAATTGTTGAGATGACTACCAATCATTTAGTACAGCACAAGGTTTGTTTTAAGTGCATGAAAATAAATGAATAGAACGACGTTGATATTTGTTCATTTATCAGATCATAATAAAGTTCATTGATCAACGTACGTCTTATTGGAAAATTTGACGAACCATTTGAATATACTATTGCTCGTTGGAGCTATTTTGTTTTTATGTCATTCTGAATTATTGTTAGAAATCAAAATCTTGACTTCAAACGAACGAAAACTAGTTGAATAAAATCGTTTTACTGGTATTAAAAACTATACGTCATCTTAAACATCGTTGATAATATTAGTAATTCAAAATTATTTCGAAACAACTACAGAAGTTGTTGAATAGACTCTTGGCTATCAAGACGCTTAATGTGATACATACATCATGTCATATTTGAGTATAGTAGTTACTGACAATATTAAACAAGGAACTTAAATGATAAATGAATGAAGACTTCGTTTTTGTAATGATTATTTTTCGATATGATCTTGAGAAACGCAGATATGTGACATGTTTGTACACACATGACAATCATAATCGAACACTCTTCTATGGCTGATTACTATTACGTCTATTCATGATCGGAATAATCTTCAGAATAACGATAATCGAACTTCTTTTCAATGATAATTAATCACAATAATTGAATACTGTTGTTACGACTTTGGCGCTGCTCGTATGTCAATTGGTAAGCGCACTGGCTATTGTTCAACTAATTCGCATTATCTGTAATCTTGATAAATGTAATTTCGACGAAATACTTCATTTTGATATAATTTAATTGTTAAATAATAATCTTTTTTCCTAAATTTGTTCCTCTGAGTTATGAATTTAATAAGCGACAGGATTTTGATTCAATAACAACACCATAAATAAAATATATGAACACAATCGCGACTGAATGGAACAGATGTAGCTTATATTTGTGACGTTAAACATTCATAGACGATTTTTTAATATCTATTGAATTTTTTTGTGTGTCAGTGCTTGATTTACTCGTTGAATTCATAAAGTTCTATGTTATTGGCTGTGGCTGTGGGTATTGTTGTAGTACTCCTTCAGATCCACATACGCATATCCTTCTCTTTCTCTTCTTCAAATTTATGTTAAAAAATGATCCGATTCTAAATAAAAATTTTATTTTTCTAATTAAAAGATTTCGATACATATCCCATACGGGAAATCTGCATGCATAAAATGTATAAAAAAAAGCCCTAATGATGGGAATGCTGCTATTATTTTAATGTAATTGATCGTTCTAGGGATGTTAATTAGTAAGACTTTCATCAATCAAACGCATGTATATGAAAATAAAATCATGCCCTAAGGATAAATTTTGAGGTCGGCACAGGTCAAGAAACTGAAAACAAAAACACTTCGCCTCGGATTACCATTTTATTGTAATAGAATGAATCGAATTCATGTGATGTTGTTCGTACTTGTTTTTCTCTTTTGTAACGTCATTTTTATTTCATCATCATCATCAAATGTCTGTTGTTACGCCATAAGACAATTTCAAGGGTATAGAAACCAATTTATAAAAATCATTTGATATTTTCTCTTTTGTTTTGAATATTTCCTAGGTTTCCATGTTATGGAAGCATATTTAACTATAATCTTGACTCATCAGCATTTCGATTCTATGCAAATTTTTCATTTCAAATCCACGATAATACAGCAGATTTGTATTATTTTGAAGCAGGTCTAGTTGCTGTGGTGAACAACACATATTCGACAATATATATGCCTTTAGAATGTGGTACATCATTTCAACGTTTACTTCTATTAAAATATGATTTAGAAACGAAAATTTATAAGCAGAGTCGATGACTTTTGAAAAGTGACGTATTTCATTGTCAACACGATGATCCTGTTTGTCAACGTCTATTTGGTTTACGTGATGTCAGTACATTTACACTTATTCTTGAAGAGTACGATATGACGACATTAGAGGTTATGACAGAATATACTCGACAAGATGGAGAAAAATATGCATTTCCCTTTGCATCCTGTTCAGTATTTGATCCAGACGAGAACTGAATTGTACAAGTGCGAACACGATTTGAAGGTTGTACTGTCAATACTTATTATATTAAAATGGATTTAAATCTTTTTGGAAAGAAAAAATATATTGTTATTGAATTTTATCTGTTACCAAAAGTTAATAATCTCTGTACGATGACGTGTGATATAGCTACAAAAGCTGTACTTGCAACATGGTAGCATGGCTCGATCGACAAAAATATTGTTATGATCTATATGAATACTTATACAAACAAGTTCAGAAATGAGACACTTCTTTTAAAAACACCACCAGGATGGGTTGTAGAATCTATTGAAGCCATCTTTAATAAAGCAAATCGTCAAGTGTTGTTTGTGATTGAACAAAATTCTGAAGATTTATCTGCACAACACTATTGATCGATCATTCTTGAGTTTGATACGATGAAAATAATAAGAAAAAAACAAGTGAAAACGATATCAACTTTGAATTTATGGGAATTTTTTATTGTTTAAAAGAAATATTTGTCATTGTAAAAAGTTTTAATTAGTCTTGAATATAATTACAAGATCTAAATAGCTATCCGTTATCATCGACTATACCAAAGGTACAAATGATAATTGAATTAGATTAAACGAATATGATCATTTAAACAATATTTTTTCTTGATCACTTAATCCACATCGACATCCTACGTCTAAATTTTTTGCCAAATATTTTTGCTTGTAAAACAAAATAAAAAAGATTTTTGGCATTTTGACAAGAATATCTAGATACAATCTAGTTCGGCGATGGTAAAAAAAACTGCGATATCAGAAGATTTTCTCGCTCGATTGTTCTACTCGCCAAAACCTCGATTTTTTTCTCACGGTATAAAGATAACCTTTACTGTAGCTATAGGTCAGCTAAGATATTATGTGATCTGGTTGTTTTATTTTTCTTTCGAACCTTTGACAAATTAGGAAAACATTGATAGGAAAAGTATATCTAATCTGATGCAAATTAGATGAAACACAAAACGATAACAGAAAGAATATTTACAATAAATAAAAGCAAAAAAAAAAGAATGTTGATCATACTACACATTTGACGTATATATCAACACAAAAAAAGGAAGGAAGAAACAAGCAACTAATATGTTGAATCTATTTATATTATCACATTAATCAATTATTATAATTCATGCCCTTCATAATTATCACCTGAAATTAATAATTGCTTTCTTTCACGATATCTACTGTTTCAGTAATCTTGTTTTCGATCATGCTGTAAAGTCAAATAAGATACATTAACTTACTAGTGAATATGCAAATGTATTTTTTCTAATCAACATCAGTACATAACGGATATTATATTGCTACAAATAGATTATCTGAATAGGATATTATGTTTTGTTCATTCAATAGTAAGTCATTACTGATTAATTGTTGTTGTATGCAAAATGAATTATTACTACGTCAAACTTGATAGATATTATACCGAACTCGCTAAAAGTTAGGAGATATCAAATTCTTTTCATTTTTAATTTGCAAACAGATATTTACATCTCATATAATCAACGATAGCACACAGAGAAACAACCTAAAATTAACCTTGGGTTGTAATGACTGTTTAAAACGTACGAATGCCTCTTGTTCACTTGTATTTCGTTATTTCAAAATTCTTTATTTTTCTTGTCGTGCTTTTTTCGCTCGTGCTGTTGCTATTTGCATGGGCATACATACAGTATAATTCGAATTACATTCATATTTATGATTTTCTTTTCTGACTTCATATATGCCACGCAAATCAACGAACATGTTATAATAGAGAAAAATTAATTGACTTCGTTTAGAAAATGGACAACTGCTACGCAAAACATATACGTGTACATGAGAGATATGCGGCATCTTTTATTTCCTCTACAAACTCTTGCACGCAAATATTCAGGAGACAATAATGATCTGAATCTTATCAAATAGTAAAAGCAACCCAAATATGTCATTTAAATGATAATGCATCAAAAAAGAATTGAGAGCCATTTCATTTTCCCATAACATTGATTTTATAATTATATACTTATGTAGTTGTAGAAAAAAGGAAATTACATGATAGCTATCTTAGAATGTCGGAAGGAATCTTCTTTTTACATTTTATTGAAAAGAATTTCTATTCAAGTTCAGCTTATAAAAAAATCTTGCCTAATAGACCGGAAATGTCGAGCACCCGGAAACAATAAGATTGCGAATATGTTAATGAGTGATATACTTAAACGCAATGCTTTTCAAGTAGATAGCGTTATTTTAGTCAGAAGTCATGCTAGCTTGTGAAGCTTATTAAAATCAAATTCTTAGATGAAATATTCCTGCTTTTATTGTACTCTTAACATGCTGAGATCTAATGAAACACTTTTTACTATTAACTTGATATTTTTAGCACTTTTCGTGAGTGAGAATGATCTATTTATATCTATAAAATTATGATTATCTTATTTTTCTAGACTTAAACATAGAAAAAAATGGACGTCAGATAAAGAACATGTTACTATGTTCAAATGAAAATACTTGAAATAGATTCTACTGGCAATATATCTATTCAAGATAAGTTATAACTTTTGCGTTTATTAATTCAAAATATTTCTCAACTTTTGATCATAGGAAATTAATCTGCAAATAATTCGTATCGCACTATAGTCAATGAAATCGGAAGTATCAAAATAAAATCTATTCGAATCATGTTGAATGTCGTTTGCACGATTTACCACCCGAGAATTTACTACCCGAGGATTTGCTGTTCGTTGATTAGAGAAATTTTGTTCCAATTAACGTTATTTTTATGCGAGTATTTACTGTCCATTGATTAGATGAAAACATTTATTTCAATCAGTGTTGTTCTTGTGTGAGGATTTACTGTCCTTTAATTGTTTCGAAGATGAGAAATGAACAAGCATTAACACTTGGATCGATTGCTAGAAGGTATGGGTGCTTCAGCTCCAAAACTTCGTAAACATTAAGTCGTAACAAATGAATATTTAATAAAATTATGGTAACGTTATGACGAAGGTGGTCATGATATTCTATCATTCTTGAACGCTGCTGGACTTAGACAGTTTTAAAGGTCATCAACACATTAAACATTTATTCTTCTTCGTTTTTGCTTATTTACACATTGATTGTTTTTTCTTGTTTTTTGATATATTTCTTGAAATTCGTTTTTTTCCTGATCCTGTATTAGTTATCACAGTCAGTATTCATTCATTTTTTTCTCTTCCGTCGATACAATCAACTGACAGTAAATCCTCATACAAGAAAAATACTAGTTGACAAACGTTTTTATTTAATCAACGGGCAGTAAATTCTGATGAGCAAAACTTATACTTTTTCTAAAAATAAATCAATTCAAATTGAAAAGCAACCAATGGATAATAAATCCTCGGGTGGTAAATCGTGTAAACCGCTGAATGTAATATTTTTCTCACAATCTCATAAATAATTGAATATCAATAATCTTTTCGCAAAAAAAAGAAACAAGAAAATTACATTAGATACTGTCTTCCTTTTTTTTTCAAACGTGAATGCATATTGATAAATAGTCTTCCTTGGACTAGTTCAGTACGTAATGAAAATGAAAAATTACAGAAGACCAATCATTAGTAAGTATGATTTAATTAAATGCATGATTTTCATTTAAGAGCGTGCTATGCACCATTATATCATTTTTCATTAGAAAACCATCGAATTACTCTATGATTTCATCATTAACAAGCACCAATTTACATACGAAAGCGTACTTTATTATAGTCAACACCAAAACAAATAAAAACTATCAGATTCAAATGTGAGATAGGTTATTTATGGTACATGAAAATATTACATACAGACGTACACGCGTAATGCCGAGCAATAGAATAATCGGTCTGACTTGTCTTTTTGAGACAACATACTTAATATTTTTATTTTTAAGATGATTCAATTTAATTTCTTCGTTATTAGACTAAGAAAGATAAGATTACTCTTATGTTATCTTTTCTCCATAATAGTAGATGCTAGCAACAACAATTAAATATTGTTGTGAATAACGCTATTAGGAGTACACAAGAAATTAATCAGTTTATACACACAAATTTTGGAGATCGGAAATTCGAAGAAAGAGAATAAGATGAAAGAGTTATGAAAGAAAAGAATTATCTAATAGTACGATACACAGTTCATTTGAGTGTTTTAATTATCATCATATATATAAAAGCATCGTAAGTACTTTTGATGACTTAGAGAAACAAAAAAGCTTTTTTTACGAAGCATTTCACCATAATAATGAGTGATGGCTGAATGAATACAGCAAATTATGTTTCGCTTTGTTTTCTCATTGTCTAATTTACCAACTCATTGTTATGCAAATTTTCTAGTATGTTTTTTCCTTTCTTGTGTGTTAAATGAAGTAGTTTATATGACAGAGTATAACACTGGCAGCACAAAACAAGATTATTTCCCATGTATTACTATGCAGCAATCCAGTCTTTGAGATATTCATTCGGTTGACTAATTATTAGTGCGATATAAAGAATAGACACATTCTGTTCTATGTTTTTGTTTGGCTCTGAACTTTGTTTTGTAGGTCGAATTAAGAAGAGTCAGATTGGATTTCTCTGTCAAAAGAAAATGAATATTATCACAATATTTATATATATTAAAAATGAGTCAAAATATTAGTAGCGCATTTGGATTTCATTGAGAAATAAAAAGAAATCCCTTGTGTATAATAAGAATCAGTTTCGGCTCAACGCTGATCATTTTTGATATGACTATTGGTATATGTTTCTTTTTAGGATCATGAGAGAGATGATTTCTCCCTCTCTCTCTCTCTTTAGCAGAAGAACAGAGGGAAAAGTGAATTAGTAGTTTTTCTACCATTATAAATATATAATGGCACAGCATACAGATGCACAAAGTGGCTCCTCAATATTGCAATCATTGACGACTAATTAGAGTTCATTAAACATAATATTTTTATTCTGTTATTTACCCTTTTTCTTGCTATCACACGCCTTATATTTATCTGTGTCAATCGTACACAAAAAACGACAGCAAGACAGAAAAAAGAAAATTGTACGTTATTTTCTTCTTGAAGCAGCTAACAAGATAATCACACAAGTTCTTTAATTGATAGTTATTAAATAAGAATATGTAACGGTTATCTTCACATTTTAAAAACATATGAAATCATTCGACAATTTTCGGAAGAAAATTTGTTGTGTACTGTTTTATTTTGTCATACGTACAGGGGCGGCGCGACCAGCGGGATGAGGAGGGATGTACCCCCCCTCCCCAGTAATTAAAATTTTTGATTTTTCTCAAGCGAAAAGAGCAGTTTTTTCTGCATTTTACGTTTTTACCGCAAGATTTCGCTGTAAATATGCCTTTACCCCGGGGGGGCGGGGGGGGGGGGGGGGGGGGGGGGGGGGGGGGGGGGGGGGGGGGGGGGGGGGGGGGGGGGNTACCGCAAGATTTCGCTGTAAATATGCCTTTACACCCCCCCCCCCAATCTTCGTTACACCCCCCCTAATATTTGGTCCTTCGCGCGGCCCCTGCATACGTAGACATATTTGGTTACAGATGTGTAATATCCTATCTTATGGAAAATAATAGAAAGACTTTTAGCGTTAATACCGATGAAGAAATTCTTGATTTATTTACATCGCATTTTTATTTTCAATTTCGAGCTACATGTCGTGATAGTATTGTAAGACAAGTAAAAAGTCTGTAATACGTAGCAATGTACGCATTTTAATCAAAACAGAGTATTAAGCAAAAGACAAATTCGACTTATGATTAGTATTGAAGTAATACTCTATCAATTAATGATGATCGCCTGACAATATGTTGCGATATTGCATGTAACGCATAAAAAGATAGCAGATAGAAATTGAAAGATTGATTTCATATCTGTTCGAACGATTTTCAAGTGAAACAAGAATTCCTTTTACTATTTTTGCTGTTTTTGTTGTTCTTATGAGAAAACAATGACTATCACAACAGAAATAACAGTAAAGATAAATACAAAGTTTTCTTTTCCTTTTGCTCTTCTTTTTCTTGTTGCTCCTCAACAGATATTTTGAGACAAGAGTGCCTGAATAAATGAATAAATATGCATGGTATATTCTAACTACTCACAAATTCGATTTATTACAGACACATAAATTAACATTAGTAAGCAACAAATCGATATTAGTTTTTGTGCTGATAGATTCGTCTACTACTGATTTTACAGTTTTTCATCGTGTAGGTTAAGGCACGTATGTTTTCTTCTTCATTATTTTTGATTTATGAGAAAGAAAAAAAGAGAGCATCAATAACTGTAAACCTCTATTCTAATCATCACTGTCACCATCTGCAGTGTGACAACTAGTACGGTTAGTCGCGTCGATGGAAACATACTTAAGACAATATGTCATTGTAATATTGTATTATTCAGTCATATCTTTTATTTAAGAAAAAAAAGGTGTGAGAAATCACTTTTCCTTCCATACGTATCTATACCGACGAGAAAAAAGACACTCTGGAGATTGTTGTCAATATTCCTTTAAATGTTCAATATTTGTTTTAATAGGAAAACAAAATGAATATTTCTTATTCATTTTGTCTTCATTTTAAATAAATGGGCTGTTTTACTTTCTACAATCGAAGTAATAAACAACATCTGTTACGCATGTAATTTAGTTTCATTTTCGCTCCTTACCAAAAAAAAAACACAAATAACATAATGATCATACCCATGTAAAAAAATTTACCCAAAAAAGTGACTATTAAGTACTTTCAATAGTAGGTTTTACGTAGGGTAAAGTGTTTATAAGTGAACCTTTTTAAGTACTTTTCATACTTTTTGACTAAAAAGTGCTGATAAGTAGTTTTGACAGTAAGAAAAGTATGATAAAGTACTATCGAAAATGGAAAAATGATCAGAAAGTACTATAAAAAGTGAAATACAGCAAGATAAAGTACTTTAGTTTACTTTATTACTATTAAAAGTGCCTTTTGGCTCACGTTTTTTTTTACATGGATAGTGATAGAACGGTATTTTTTTTTATCATGTTTTCCCGTTAACGACAATGCGAACATATTGTTTGTTATGATTCTATATAAATACATAAAGTAAAATAATTAAATAAAACTCTTCTTTCTCTAGATTTATCTTTAAAATGTTATGTTCAAAGGAGAACAATGTTTAATATTTCTAAATCAATATCGTCAAATGTTATTGATGATATAACAACAATATCTACATCATTATCATTATTCGATGAAAACATGTCAGTATTGATAAATGATCAAAGCTCATTAAAATATAGCAATTTAACATGTACACAAATCAAATATGAATACGTTTCACAAAAGTCTTTATTTAATTTTGTTCGTTATGTAACACATAATTTAAATAGATTTTTTATTTTACCAGCAATTATTTTAAATCTATGTGCCTTTTATATCTTACGGCGTACACGTATGAATCGTTCATCATCTATAGCATTTTACATGCAAACATTAGCATTATGTGATGTAGCATTTTTTGCATTGAGAGTTCTTTTTGGCGAGTTATCAAGTTTATCAGCTAATAAACATATATTAACAACTGGCTTATGTAAATTCCTTTTTTTAATGGTAAATGCAGTCAATTATACGACTGGTAAGTTAATAGTTAGCATGAGATATAAAAACATATTCTAATATCGAATCAATTCATCAATTATTAATCAAAATACAACTGGGAATTTAACGATTCTAAGAGGAATTCTGTGAATTTATTGTAATATTTCATGATAAAATTGGTAATATAATTATAGTGAAACATTGATAAAAACAGAAAGTAATAATTCGAAAGAACAATATTAATGTCACACATTGATGATGTTCTTTTTTCGTTTTTCGCATTCAAAGATGTTGATAGACAACAATAATATAATCCATGGTTCTTGTTCTTGTTGTTGTTGTTGTTGTTGTTGTTTGAAACATTTTCATCTTTTATTTCGGTTTAATTATGTAAAAAAAGGTTAATTCAATCACGTTCAATTCTTCTTACACTCTTAGAAACCTGTTAACTCGCAGGAAATACACAAATATGAAAGAAAACTAATTGATGTTCGATTGAAAGCAGTGCAAATTTTACTCGTCTACTCGAAAGTGTACAATGTCAGTTGACGACCTACTGTATCGTTGTAATATACCGTTAAAACAAGTAATCCAAATGAATTTGAAGTGTTTTCTCCATGCAACTGAGGATATGAACTTGACTGGCTCACTGTTCAATATAATAGTTTTTTAATAATTAATACTGTACATCTCGAATAGATAGTTAAACATTGTACTAGATAGAAATAAATGAATCTACATTTTTCTCTGTATCACACATAGCTACATGTTGTGTATATACAAAACCAATTGAGATTTGTTACTAGAGGCTTATTTGTTATTATCTTCAAAAGCAAAAATCGAATAATAAACAGATATATTTCTATGTATAGATCAATACTGTTAATCGTTTTCTTTTGGTCTACTGAGTTTTTCTTATTCATAAATTTTCAATGCCATTTTTATTTCTAGTATGGCTTATTGCTGCTATGAATGCAGATAAATTCCTTGCTGTATGTTTACCATTACGTGTATCTGATTTGTTATCACGAAAAAAAGCGTATGCTGTCGTCATAACTGTTATTAGTTGTTCAATGTTGATTGCATCTGTACATGCAAGTCGAACTGTATTAAAAAATAATTCCTATTGTTGGCTTAAAACATCACAAGATGAAAAACTCGTTTTTATTCTCGATGCATTTATTTGGTGCTTTATTCCATTTATTGTTATATCTATATTAAATGCAGCAATATTTCTTACTTTATTTCGAGCACGCCGCGAAGCAACACATTTACACGAAACAACAGCAGGCATTACACAAACGTCAAAAAGTCAATTTGCTTCAACGGTAAATAATCGTACACGTGTTCAATCACAAAATATTCAGATAACTATAATGCTAATAACAATATCAATATCATTTTTTGTTTTAACATTACCAAATGCTATTTATTATTTACTCATATTTTTACGTGTTTTTATTGAAAGTTGGAAAGCAGTAAAATGTGATGCAAATGTATACCGAAATCTTGATACATACGTAAAAACATCAGCTGTTATGTATCTTATATCGAATATAACATCTGATTTAATGCATGTGGTAAATTTTTTTCTTTATTTTATAAGTGGTGTAAGATTTCGTGCTGAATTTCGTCGTTTAATATTTCATCGATTATGTAATCTGTGTTATAAACAAAAAAAGAATCGCTTCGGAAAAGAAAGAAAATATAATCAACGTTCACTTTTACGTACAAATGGTGTAGCAGCAGTTCGTGTATTATCATCATTACCTGGTGACATGAAACAGCGATGCGTAACGAACGATAAGAATTATTTAACATCAATCAAAGATAAACAAACAGTTACACATTTATCATCAACAAAGAATGGTGTGCTCACTGAAAGTTTATTAACATCTGTAGGAAGTCAATCGCCCAGAAATCAATATAAAGTCATTACTTTGAAAACTGATGACAAAATTGAAAGGGATAATCTTCTTCATGATGAATAGAAGTTTCAGAGATTTTCTTTTTCTCTATTGTATTTATTTTGCTGGTGTAATATAAACAATATTTCATAGTGACAAATTCTATTTCAATAATATAATTTTGAATATACGTATAACGATTATTTATTATTCACTTTTTAGTTAAAAATATTGCTTAACTCATGACTTCATATGTACATGAGAATCATAAAACAATGTTATCTTTTCATCATTGTGCATGATAGTCTTGATTATTTTAAGAACAACAAAAATCAGTGCCATACGAGAATGCATGTCAATTGCATTACGAATCAATGGATAGAAAAGAAACAATGGTAAATTGTAGTTACTCTTTGTCATTGTTTATTCTATTAACAGAGAAGACAATCGCTTTATGAATCAGTTCATGTGCTGTCATAAATCTTCAAGAAAATATTCTTTGTTATTACGCTTCTGACGTGAGTCTATCAATGTATGTTGTTAAATTCTATTATTTAGGAAATTATTTTATGAAACTGTGTTGTTCTTGGATAATACTTCAGTAGAATATTAAAAAAAGTCTATCAAACAATAGTTTCTACAGTTTGAATGAGACTTAATTTCTACGGAACAAGTGTCTTCACTATTTTCGTAATAACGTAACAACTATTAGTATGGGATGTGTTTTAATGAAAAAATATATTCTAATGAAATAGTCAATGAGAACCTACAATGGAGAAAAATTTTGATTCTATGCCCTGTTTCTGTCTTATTGTGTCTTAATAGTATGTTTGCACTCATTGGCCATATTGTCTATTATATTTCACATTGACAAAATATAGAAACAACAGTACTACAATAAATATCACGAAGACATCATGAATCAATCTTGTACTTTATTATTCCGAATTGAATGAAGAAATAAGTGTCTTTCTATAGCGTACGCGAACATACTATATTACATAATTAACTGTTTAATCTTAAATTAAAGATGTTTAGGACAGTGGAAAAGTAAAAATTAATCGGCACGATGATTACTAAATTGAAATATTAGTTGTTAAATGCATTAGAGAAAAAAACTTTTCTAGGGAACTCGACGGGAGACCGGAATTTCGGCCCAAGGAATTTTCGGGCCGAACTTTCGGACCAATTTTATACAAATTCATTAAACTCGGAGAAAAAACGAATTATTTTGAAAATTGGTTTCTAGATATTTTTAGTACCGAGCGAAGCGTCGTAGTGCCGAGCGAAGTAATATAGTGTTAAAAACAGCACTTCTATTATTATAGAACATAGTATGGCGTTTTAAGATACATATCGTTTATCCACAACAAGCACGAACGAATCTAGTGTAATCTCAATATTGGCTTAAGGATGCACAGTTTTTAGTTTTATTTTAGATGTAGAATTCACTATTGCTGGTATATTTTTCGAAATTTGTTGAGATGTAAATTAGGTATAAATTCGGCTTTTTTATTTCAACTAGTTTTTCTTCTATGGAATGAAAAACGCCGCTTCGCTCGGCACTACGTCACTTCGCTCAGCACTACGACGCTTCGCTCGGTACTAAAAATATTTAGAAACCTTTTCAAAAAAATTCGTTTTTCTCCGAGTTTAATGAATTTGTATAAAATTGGTCCGAAAGTCCGACCCGAAAATTCCGTGGGCCGAAATTCATGTAACCCAACTCGATATTTAGATATGATTTTTCAATCTTGTTTACAGATAGGACATGATTGAATTTTAAGATGGTTGCGAATTGATTGTAAATACATATTCACTGTATGCATATGATAACAATGATATTGGAATATTGTATGTACGGGGAAATAAAACATAGATTAGACATATGAGGACACTAATTAATATTCAAAACCTTTTCCATCAGATGCACATCAGGTATTAGTCGAAACAATGATCATGAAGTTTGATCATCTTTGTAATTCTAATTCTTGATGTATTAACGTACGAAAACTATTATCGTTCAATGTTGCTTTCTTTTATAATCAATTATTTCCTTTTGATGTTTGAAAAATACTTCTGATTGCGTAGAAGTTTTTTATATTTATCAAACGCTGTAACCAAAATTGGCAAAAATATTGAACTAGAAAACTTGATTTGGAAATTAATATCAATTCTAACATTTTGCTCTGAGCGATGAATATGATTTTCCGTATTGTGTATTATTCTTCCTGTATTTGATATGGTATCTTTTAAGAGTCTGAGAAGTAAAATCATTTTTGATTTCTTAAAATGAATCTAAATCACCAGTGCGATATTCATCTTTGTTTATTCAGAATTGTTGAGTGATTAACATGTTTCTAATGATAAAACATATACAAATCTATTAAAATTATATGAACACAGAACGATTTAAATCGATATGCTGAATAAATCATTCAGATATCTGATTCGGTATTATAAAGGAACGCGAAAATATCATGAAATACCTTTCAAAATACTTTATTCGTATGCTCAACGTATGCTAATAAAAAAGTTCACCACTCTTCGAAGAAAAATTAATTTTACTATTTCAATAATATCTTAAATTTCAGAATCATCTAATACATTTGATTTGGACACTTAGAATCGATTCTATTTCCTTGCTTATGTACGTACATATATATATATATATCATAAAAAAGAATCTTTGATTTGTCGATATTTATTCTTAAGTAAGCATATACGATTGTTCTCTAGTATGCGCAACAAATATTACTTCATCAGTTAGGATTTCTTATGCTTTTCTCGTCATATTACATTCTATATTATTAATTATTTTGAATTAGTCATAAACACACGTCATCATAGTTCTACGAGTATTTTATTCCTTATGATTCAAAATCGCCCCTTTAAAATCACTTTGAATCTCACGCATTAGTATTCTATCAAAGTCGTTACAGCTTGCATTAATCGACTATTAACTTTTTTATACTGATAGTGAGACAAAACAGAATAATGTGTCACATATTGTATTGATTTCTTACGACAGACAATCATCATGAAATCTATGCTTGCCGCTCTTGTCTTCTACTCTTTTACTAATTTTGTATTAGCTAGTGAAAAATTTAATTTGCAACCGGGCCAAGAACAAATTATAAATTCATCGAGCAAAAATGAGCTAGCTTCGTATCGTCGAAAATTCAAAGATCATGAACAGACTGATTTCAATGCTAGTAATATTATTCCTTATCCACACAATATTACTAAGAACGATGACGGTGACGCTAATGATTTTCGCAATAGAGTAATCAATCCCAAATTTCGTTATAGGATGCATACTCATGGAACTAATGCTGCTCAATCATCATCAGTAAGAAACATTAATATTTCTTAAAAATAAAATATTCTATCAAATTATTAAAGGTTTCTATTCAATCAAACCAATCACTTCTAGAAGACAAAAACAAGATTCTCAGCGCAACCATATCGTCACTTATTCTTCAAACTCTTACACAAAAACTAGTGGATAATTATGATCGAACTCGCCGACGTCTATCTTTTGTCAATTTTTATTATCAAAAAATAAGAACATTGTTGAAACGTGGACAAGGAAACTGGACTCGTCGTCCATATTCAAATATTAAGACAGGGCTATAAGAATAAGACACTTTTTAGAAATAATCTTATAAAATAAATTGAAAATATCTGAACAAAACTCGACAGATGTATTGAACACGAGTAGAAAATATCGAATCGAATTTTTAGATAGGAATCAAAGATTTTTTTCTACGCAATAAGATCAAATACATTGTGACATTCTATAGAATAAAATTTAGTCTCATAAACGCAGTGTCATTCTACATGTAAACTACGGATTCTTAATATTTCTTCATGGCTCATATAGCTTATTGTGGAACCTTCACGTATCATCCGAGTACGACACACTTAACCAGTTTTGTATATTTTTACTTCAACGATAATGTTTCGAGTTCGATGAATATCTATGCATAATTTAGATTGTTCGTTTTGTTTAAAAAATTCGATACATTTATGAAAAATCAAACTGTGATGCCATTAGCCAATTTTAAAGATACAGGTTTCAAACAATTACCTTGATATCAATATAAGACGAACATATAGTAATGAATCGATTGATAATCAAATTCTGCAGGCAACAAACACTTGGATTACGATGATTTTATGATCTACGTACAAGACAAAGATGGCAACAGTTGTAGTGGTCTACTTGTGACCAATTTAACGAATGAATACATTGGAAATTGTGATCATCTCGTTTCACTCTATAGCTACAATTTAGTTTTCATAGAAGTGTTTCGTTAACGCGGAGAAGACACAAATGATATGCTCTTGGATTGCTTCTCCTATCATACTATCGATGTAACAAATATACTTAGTTTCCTTTATGGATAAATAACTCCGATGGAATCTATTCTCAAAATACAATTCAGACAAAAATAATAAAATAATATGACTTTCCACTTTAAAAACTATTGTAGACGGTAGTTCAAATAAAATTTATTTCTCGTCAATATTGACAAGTGAAGTTTTTAGCTGATATCAAACTCAAATTAATAAATTCTTAATACTTGTACAGCCGTAAACGATGACGTACTCCTGCTGTGTTGTTTCATTAGAAATGTCTCAGACTCTAATGGTTTACCAAGCAAAATGAAGAATAAGTATAACTTCTGTGAATGCAAAAGCAAAGGAGCATATTTTTTAAATCTTTGTTGACATTCGTTAATAGATAGGTGTCTTTGTTTTCTTTAATGAATCCTTTTCAATCGAGAGGCGTGTAAAACTGTTTTCGAGGCGTATTAACCTGCATCATTCATTCGTTTTTCTCGAGAGAAAAAGTCAACACTTATAAATCATTTTATTTTCAAGTTTGTTGTGTTGTATTTGTATTTCACTATAGAAATTAAAAAAAAGATCATTTATAGTCATGTTTCGAATAGCTTGACAAAGTAAAGAAGAAAAAAAACAACATGACCAACCAAGTTTTCTCTAATCATGAAAGATTTCTCGTTTGATCATCGAAAAGAATTCTTTTTTGAAACGTTTCAATTCTTATTGCTCATGCTACTATGGTCAAATTTAGGAGTAGTATCGAAATTCAATTGAATACGTGAAGATAGAATTGAAAACGACTAATAACTTTAGAAGTCTTAAACCTATGCTAAAAACCTGATAGATGTCTCTGAATATTGCGAACATTTTACAGGTAGTCGCTAAGCAAATAAACTCGAACAAATACAGAGAAAAATGGTAACTAAATGTTCTATTTACATACTAAAAACACTCTTGTTTCTCTTCTTCTGAAAATGTATGTAAATATATTTTAGTTAGAAACGTTCTGTTAACAAAAATAACCATCTACTAATGTTTTATATTAACCAGGAATGACAAAAATGTTGGATGTCCTTTTTTTAATTATTCAGTAGTAGAGGTAACGAAGCCATTAAAATTATGATCTTGATATATTGAATGTAAGATTTTCAAAAGATTCTATTTTTACTTAACATAAGATTAGATTTCGAGTTTGACAACGATTCAAGTTTTGATTTGAAGACCATCGTAATTTTTGTTTGTTTGTTGGTTGGTTGCATTATTCATTCATCTCAACGATGGATCTATGTAATTTCTTCTTTTACGTTATAAACCAAAACAGAATGGATATTTTCATAATCTTAAAGTTGTTAGAATAGAATTTGTTTATTATTTTTTCGTTCGTTCTATTTGAGTTTTTATTGTGCGATACTTGAACAAACTCATAAATGGAGAATAGACGCACGTCTCATGAGTAGCAAAAAAAGTGCTGTTATTATAACAGGAGTGGCAAATTGAAATCATCAAACGTTTTCTTTTTTCGGTTGATTCGAATTCATTTTTATTTGAAGATTTTTTTCTTCGATGCAATGACTGTCGTCGGTATCAATTATTATATATTTTTTGTTCAAACTTAAATAAACATTTGCCTCACTAAAGCACAAATATTTATTACCTGTTAAAATTTGGAAAATGCCCGCTCCATCACGACGAAAACGAAATAGTTCAAGTGAATCAAGTAATGGTTTATCATCATCATCATCATCGTCAGATGATGAAGAGATTTCATCAACAAAATTAGGAAAATCAACAATGAATAGAATCAACGAATTAACACTTAAAGATGATGAAGATACTATTAGTTTTCAAGCGCCACTACCTGAATATTATGGTAAACTATTTTAGTTGTTTGATGAATATCAAATTTTGCTTTTTTTAAATCGCTTTACAGAAGAGCCAGGAGAATCAGATGATGACCGAAGAATTTTATCAAGAGTTCTCGAATCATCGGCATCAGGTGTAATTAATAATGATAAAAAACACATAGAAAAAAAGAAACGAAAAAGGTTTTTGTTCATTAATATTTTATTTAGTAATTATTTATTTTGGAATGTTTGTCTAGACTCTATTTTATTTGTGTATCTATGTGTAAATATGAATGTGTACGACGAGCAGCAAAACGTCTTAATTTTCGTGAAGTTTCGGATGAAGATGACTGGAATGTTTATTGGACTGACACAAGTGTTGGAATTGAAAGAGTGGCACAAATGAAAAAATGGCAGGTTAGAAATTATATTTTATGAAATATCAGTGTTTTGCACTATTATATTCGTAGAAAATAAATCATTTTCCTGGTATGAGTGAAATATGTCGAAAAGATTCTTTAACAAGAAATATGTCAAGGATGTATAAAACCTTTCCAAAAGAATACGGCTTTTACCCCAGAGCTTGGTGTCTTCCAGCTGAGTACGTTATTAATTTGATTGTATCACAATTTTTTCATGTCTTTGTTTTCAATTCGTCATTGTTTATATAGTTATAGTGATTTTTCTAAATATTGTGCCGAGAAAAAAGGCAAAACATTTATTTCTAAACCCGATGTTGGTTGTCAAGGGCGAGGAATATTTTTAACAAAAAATCCTGGAAGAGATATTAAGCCGTAAGATAAATAATTGATCAAATTTATTGATTATTATTATTATCATTATTTAGAACTGACAATTTTGTTGTTCAAGTATACGTGAATCGGGTATGTATGAAAGAAAGACATTTATTTTCTATTCAGCATTCTTCTGAATTAAGTAAAATAGATTTATGTGAACATAGGAAGAAATTTGAAAAAAAAATGAAATAGTTGTTTATTATTTGACCATTGGTTTTAGTCATCTCTGAATAAGTGTTAAATAGTTGTCAGTCTATTTATGTATAATTTCATTTAGCCTACAAAATATTTTCAGATAGTATCATTCACATTGTGCTGCAGTTGGATAGTTATTTTTTACTTTCATTTTCGTGATTATTCTAATCGTATCTCGACGCTTACAGATAAGAGAAGAGATTCTCTATTATTGATAGAGTTCTCGAAAAACTGGAGCTTTACATAATAACATATTTCAATCAAAGCATATGCTAATTATTTTCTAAATGGTAACTGCAAGCTGTTTTAGATTTATGTTTAAAAATGATTTCTAGGCTTTGAAAACTTTCAAAATCGATGTGATTTACTGAAAATCATGTTGCCCTAATTATCATGAAATTAGATGAATTGAAAAATGCAAGTTTATTTCGAAGCTTTTTATGTTTCTGTGCAATAGAAACAGCAAAGCTCTGTGTTTGAAAATTCAGTTAATATAAGCATGAATGATCATTACAGATTGATTTGCCTGTAATCGAATTCAAGACCAATATTTTGAGACTCAACCTAAGACTATCTTTCAAATATATTTCTTATTTACGCTCGATGCCAATATATCATTGTTCATATCTCTTAACAGAAACATTCTATTGCATTTAGTGTACTGCACAGGAGTCCGAAACCCGATTCCGACTCCGACTCCGTCGAAGTCGGAATCGGAATGAAAAGAAAAAAAATTTAGGAGCCGGACTTGAAATCGGAATCGTGAAAAAATATTTTCCGGAGTCGGAGTCGGAGTAAAAAATGGCGCTGGACTCCGAAATTCGATTTCTACTGTAACGAAGCTAAAGTAGTAGAAGATGAAATAAATTTTTTGTGAGTTAATTTTTGAGCTATATTACAACAAAGATCGCATCATCTGACTTTCACTTAGATAGACGTTTATTCATGAGTATATTGTATAATAAACAAAGATATGCTAATTTTAACTTATAATAAATAAATCTTAAGCAAAAAAATGGCACAAGAAAAATATTGACATTAACCACTAGTATAAAAAAAATAGACTAATCAAGAATATTCTCTTTATTATAATCATTGAAAGTATCGTCGACATCGATACATAATTGTTTAGGAGCTGTACAGGTGGATTCTTCAGAAGATACTGTTGTTATCGATAGCATTGATGATATTCGTTCCTTAGTAATTCGTTTACTCGTATATCCTTTCAGAATATCAAACATTTGATATGAATTAGATGTCACTAAGCTGCAAAAAAAGGTCGGGTTTTTCCGGAGTCGGAATCGGATTCCGGAAAAATTTACCGTCGAAGTCGGAGTTGGAATCGGAATCGAAAAAAAATTTTCTTCGGAGTCGGAGTTGGAAGCGGAATTGAAAAGAAAAATTTTTCGGAATCGGGTCGGGTTTAGGAATCAAAATGTACGACTCCGCTGATCTCTAATTGCATTACTTGATTTTTCTATTCTGTGCTAGTTATTTTGTTTTCGTAAAAAGTACCAAGACAAATTTCTAGCAATGATGGATCAAGTGAACCATTATTTGATTTAAGTTTTGTTTTACATAATCGGATGGGTCTCCTACAAATTTTAAAACAGTTTATAAATACAATTTTCTATTGTTTTAGCCATTTTTAATCGATGGTTATAAATTTGATTTACGTGTATATGTTGCTGTAACATCGTGTGATCCATTTCGAGTATTTGTCTATAAAGATGGCCTCGCTCGTTTCACAACTCAACACTACGAAGAACCATCAACTAACAATTGTGTATGTTGAATTTATTTCAAAGGATATGGAAAAGCATATTTCATCATCTATTTTTTTGTCTTTTCTTGTTTTTAGAAAGATATCTTTATGCATTTAACAAATTACGCTATTCAAAAGCGTTCAGACGATTTTATCCGCGATGAGGATACCGGTACTAAACGGTAATTCTCAACACATAAAATAAGAATACATTGAAAATTAAGTCTAATTCTTCTAGTCGAATAACAACAATCAATCGTTGGTTAATTGAACATGGCTATGATATAGCTAAATTATGGACAGAAATTGATGATGTTATTATAAAAGTTCTTATATCAGCGCATCCTATTCTTAAACATAATTACCGTGCTTGTTTTCCAAATCATTATCGTGGTAGTGCTTGTTTTGAAATTCTTGGTTTTGATATATTAATTGATCGAAAGCTCAAACCATATGTTCTCGAGGTATGAATACAAAACACATGATCCTCGTGACTTAGTCTGCCATCTCAAAACAACCCATTATCTATCTAGTTTTGTTGGAAACATTCTTACTCATCAAATAGTAATTTGAATTTATAAATAATATTTGATGAGTAAGAATTGGTTTCAATAAAACTAGATAAAGAATGTGTTGATCTTAGATGATTGACAATAGCTGCACTTTGCGAGATATTTTTTGCGAAAGAAAAACTTAAATATTTAATTAAATTTTTGTTAGGTAAATCATTCTCCAAGTTTCACAACAGACTCTAAATTAGATCGTGAAATAAAAGATGCACTTATATATGATACTCTACTTTTGATGAATATGCCAGCTGCAGATAAGCGACGATTCATAGAAGAAGAAAAGAAACGTGTCAAAGACAGATTATTTCAGCGAATAAATAAAAAAGATAAATATCGTGAAGAACAAGAAGATCTAGCTCAACGATGGCAAAAAGAAATTGAAAAATGGGAAGACGATCATATTGGAAATTATAGGAGAATTTATCCAACACCTGAAGCAATACCAAAATATGAGAAATATTTTACACAATCAGGTACACTTTATTCAGAAACAGCAGCTTCAAAAGCAAGAATTGAACAAGCAAAGTAATTCACGAAATTAATTATTTTTACGTTTAACTAAAAAAGTAGTTATTTAACTTATTCTTTCGTTTTTAGAGTCCAAATGGATGAACTACAAAAAAAACAAGATAAATTAAATGCATTTAAAAGTGGAAAATCATCTTCGAACACAACAACAAATAATTCAAAAGAATTCTACGGTGAAAGTTCAACAAAACGATCTTTACCCATTATTAAATCATCTAGAAGTTCATCATTTAATCGAACACCTTTAAAACGTCTTACAAATGTAAATACTTTACTTTTGATCATCTTCAATCAATCAGTCAATATATATATATAATTTATTCTTTTAGAATGCTCATATGTCGACTCCAACAACTCAACTTTGTACTGATCCAACAAAACCTATTGAAATTGATGAAACTGAAGAGTTAGAACGAATGTTATCACTTAAACATCGAGAAACACTTATTCGAGGAATGGGTAAAAACAAAAACTTTCGAATACTAATTATTATTGTAGCTAATCATTTTTAACTATAAAGGTATTGTTGATATGTGTCATCGAATGCTATTTGGTACACCCGGCACAATGGCTAACTTGCAATTGAAAAGTAATGGAATTACACAATTACAAGGACAATGCCAAAGCACAGTGAGTATTCGATTATCTCTTGTAATCGTAAAACAGAATTAATTATTTAAAACTATATAGTTACACATTTTATAATTCAGACTCGAGGTTTTTTATGTGCATCATTCAATTGAAAAAAACAATAGTGAAATATATTAAGTTTCGCTGAGTTCAATGAAGCATCTAATGATTCGTCGTTAATAAATAATATAGATAGTATTTTCTTTGTGCCAAACAAAATGAGTAATATTTTATTTTTTCTGTAGTTCTCTTATGTAAGCGTATCTAGTCATTTTATTTTATTATCTATCGATACAGCTAGCTGAAAAGGCTAGACCTCTGATTTTCCATTATTGAATTATCATTAAAAAGATGTGCTTTTCTTTTTCTTTTCTTCTTTTTTTCAGACGAATATTGATGTAAATGATCTATCACAAAATCTTTCTCTTCTTCAATATGTTGGTTCAAAACTACCTCATGGCCATTTAAATCGGTATCATTCAAATAATACTGCATCAGCTCAAGCACTTCAACAATATTTTAGCAACCAACAACATCAATCACAACCAAAACATGAAGTTCGTCCTACACGAACTGTTCAAATATTTGATGAAAAATTTGGCAATGTTTGTTGACTAAAACTAAAACAAAAATAATTAGTTTTGTATATTAATCTATTCTTGTTTATGATATAGATGGTTCCGTCTCAAAATGGATCAAGAAATGGTCGTTATCAACAAATTATACGTTCGCCAGATCCACAAAGTCGTTTTTTTGTTCAAACAAATGTCATGCCACAAATCTCAGCTAATATTTTGCCTAATACAAATATGATTACAAATAATTCATCCTTTGATTTATCAATAAGAACTAAAAGTGCGACCGGCATGACACGACAACGCACAGGTCTGTTAGGTTAAAATGGACTTTCATTTACTTACTTATCTTCAACTTTACACATTTTCTTCTTCTCCTTGTTCTTTACCTTATTACACATGCACTCATGCATCAAAATCGATTCTGCAGAAACCGGTAAGCTAATTGATTCGTTTATTTATGAAGATACTGGTTTGAGTGATCCATTCCTTTTTGAATGTATCTGTAGTGGTTTTGAGTTACTTGTGGTTTATTCTTTCAGATACTATGGAAGGATTACAACGAAAAAGAGTGAAAAATGATAGGAGAAGAAGATTGAGTCAAGAATAACTGATGAACAGCAATTGAACGAGGGTATTTATACGTGTGCGCGACAGAGAGAGAGAAAGAGGACAACGAAAGAAAGAGAATAATGATAAAGAGAGGTACTTCTCCCAGCGATGAGTGTATAACAGGTGAATCGATCGCAGTATTTTGTGAGGATAGTTCAAAAGTCTCTAAATTAAAATTTGAACTGGCCTTTTGATCATCAAAATAGAGCAAATATTTTTGCTGGAACAGTTGTTATAACCATGATTTGTAATTTGGTCACAACAGAAATCAGATCAAGAATCTTGTGTCAAAATTATTTTCTCTTGAATAACAGTTAAGATGAATAAAATGTAGGAAAGTTGCTATAATTTTATCGAAAAAACCTATCTGTTTTAATCTTTTTTTGTGGCTGCTGTAGGACACAAATCCTAATGATAAATTCAAAACTAGCAGTGAATCATTCCGCATAGATCTCCCTGTAGTTCGTACAAAAAAAAAACGTTTTAAAAGCTCTCAACAAATATTAATCTATAAAAGATAAGTTATTCAATAATAATTTCCTCATGTTTTCTAGTAATAAAAATGGCATGAAGTAGTGCACCCTAATATAGAAGATAATATTCTTTGCTGAAAATAATGAGTTGCTAAAGTTTTTAGAATTTCAACAAACCTATGGATAAATGTACTCTATTTGTACTACATTAACGTTTCGCAGCTACATATTCAGAAATGATTTGCTTAATTCAATATATGTGAGCTGACTGTTGCAAAATTTAAACCGATGATGACACGACCAAATGTCATCGTATTTAAATTTCATTTTTTGTCATGATTATTATTTTCATTTAATTTCCAATAAGCAGTTTAGCAGATCTACTAAAAAATCTTGTCCAAATAAAAATCTCTTTCTGAATTAACATCTATATAAAATTCACTGAAATTTCAAATAGCTTCGCGTCAGAGACACGTGCATCACAACAATAGTAAACTTTTCAACTAGTAATTAGTGAGGCCTCTATAATAAAAAGAACAAGTTCGTTCATTATTCTCCCTAATTACAATAAATCTTGCAACAATTTCAGTTCTTTTAAAAACTTTCTATAAGATGATAGTCCAGTATTCCGTTTTTAGACTTCAATAAGTAGATATGAGTTCAAGTTTTATCAAATTTTCTATTTTTATTTATTAGAGAGTGTTCAACAAAAACTTATTCAATAGTAATTACAAATTTTTTCCTTTGCGTTTATTTCCTCTGACTCGTAAACCAGTTTTGTACGAACTAGATATCATAAATAAACGAAAATAAAAAAGTATTTCATTTACATAAAAAATTATCATTATTATTTTCTTTAGGCAGTTTCTATTTGATCTCATATGATTTCAACAGTATTAGGAATTGTCTTTCAGAAAACGACATTTCTGCAAATGGACGATCAATATTAATTGGAAATCGATTGAATTCTTTGTATGGTCTTCCAATGTTTGAACAATCTCAATGATCCGATTTAGATGAATTTTTTTAAAGTGACAAACCTATTCTATAATCAATATCAGTATGAGATCGAAAAATAAGTTCTGTTTGTTTGCTTGCTTTTGAGACAGTGTTTTACACCCGGTTTTTATGATTCGTTTTTTTCAATTTTTAGTTTATTTTCATTCTCACATATTTATGTCCAAGTGTGTCTTGTAGATAGATAATGATTTACTTTTTCTCATGTTCGTACATGCAGATTTTCTTTTGTGAATGTGTGTGCAAAATGACATCTGCTTTTTCGGGTATTTAACTTACTGAAAGAATATTTTTGTTATCGAATCGTAAGAAAAATACACATGTGTTCAAAAGTTTCTCTTTAAAGAATAAACAAATCGTTTTTTAAAAGTTTCTAGTGATTATTTTTTAATATATTTTCACAATGTAAATAAAATAGAATTTTCGTACAAAACACCAGCGATACAAAATCATGATGCTTCTCATTCTAAATGTTTTTCATTCAACAAAGATTTAAATTATTGAAATAGTTTTGATTACATTAGAGATTGTTTTGATAAAACCAAGTTGACATTTTTATAATCAAACGAAAAAATCGAAATCGTGAACTGGGCCTGAGTTGAGTTGTTAGTGAATTCCTTTAATTGTTCAAAACTTTCCAGTACGAAATTGCTTGAAATCAATGAATGGCTTTATTTACGCAGTGATTTCATATAATCGATAAGTTTAATCACGATGTGTAAAGCTTATTTCACATGAAATTTTAAATGGGTAGAACATCATGAATTCAGTAATGAAATAAATGTAACAACACACTGCTGGATGAGTAGCTCTTAGTATAGAAAAGAGGTATGAATCTAGCACTATTGCCTTAGTGAATTGAATAAAAATCAGTCTGAAAAAGATTTGTGCCTGAAAAAAATGTCATTAATTTGACAAACTCTAAAAATCGCAACGTTTTCCCCTATCGTCATATTCTCTAATAAATCATTTCATTACAACAAGGTAGCCGATATAGTCGCAGAAAATTAGCAAACAGTCCATATTACTCTGTTATCAATTATAAATAGAAAAAAAAAAGAATATTTTAATCAGTTTCGATTTTTATTTAAACTTTTATTTTTTTCGTCTGATCATCTGACGATTCATTTTTTCTTTTACTTATATTTGTCATACATTGATTGGCTAAATGACATACATTGCAATTATTACAATGTACTCTTTCAGCTTTAACACAACGTTTACACAATGAACAATGTTTGTAAGGTAAACCATCTTTCGACGTACATGATTGACATTCAAAGCAATGTTGATTTGTTAATAATGTATAAAGATCACATTCGAAACAATATTTATAATTAACATCATCTAATGGTGGAAATTTTGATCGAGATATATCAGTAAACATACGAACAGGTGAACCTTTTCTACCACGACATAAATTTAATGTTGATATTGATGAATATTCAATTTTATAATCAAGCATTTTCAAATTTGGAAATGCGTCAATAATCCATTTTTCAAGAAAATATGGATTAAAGAGAATTATATCTCGATTAATATCAGACAATTGAAATAATTTTTCAATTGAATAAGATAATGCACGATGAAAACCACCAAACGGTGGATCAATAACAATCAAACAGTTTTTAATTGTTTTAAGAAATTTTTCTTGAAAATATTTTTTCTTTGAAAATATATGTCCATTAAACATATTATAGATAAGCATTTGTTTAGTAGAATAAAATGAACAAAGACGATAATCATAATCAAGCAGATATGTTTGAATACTTTTTGTCGAACTAGAACGATGAAGATTTTCGAAAATAGTTGGACAGCCAATACAAATTACACTATCCCAGGAATTTTTTGAAATAATTTCATTGATAAGATAATCGATAAATGTTTGAGAAAAGAAAAATTGTGCATTAGTACGTTTCTTTTCAAGTGGTTGAAGAACATATTGACATGGTTGTCGTAATTGTTGCCGATTCAAAGATTCCGTACATTCATGATCGATATGATTGGATTGTTTTTTTTCGGAAAACAATATCGAACAAGTATAACAATAATAACTAAAAAACAAAAAAGATACAACATTTTATTTAAACAATCATAATTGCTATAGAAAATTCAAGAACAAGAGCTATTGTAATGTTCTTCTCACTAAGCCAATACTCAGTCGAGTTAAAACATTGAAAAATACATTATTCTCAGAATGATTATTTGAACTATTTTTTGTAGGATAAATTGAAGGTGTGAATGTTATGAAGTTGTGAACAAACAAACAGAGTTCTACTTTCTTTAAAGATTAGGTGTACTCAATAATGAAATTTTGTCTGATTACGAATGTGGGTTTTTGAGGAAAAAACTCAGAGAACAAAGATTTTCAAATAGTCAAGCTGATTTTTCGTGAATCCTTAGTCGTTCACAATGTTAGTAAAATTCGAAAGGAGAAAAATAAACATGTGCCTCTCAAGATATTGAGTCTGAAGAAAAAGCTTCTTTTCTTTATCTGATTTGAAGAAACATAAGCTGCATTTAAAAAAAGAATATTTCTAGAACTAGCATCTTATTGGAACTGAAAAACATTCATAGGGGAACCGAATGTCAGATCATACTTCTACCAATAGATATTTCCTTTCATATCTTGCACGCATTCTGAAAAACTACTAAAATAACTAGAAATCTAGAAATGAAGTTTCAGCCACTGAGATCTAGATCTAAACTTTCTCGTCAGATCACCAAGAGAATACTCTCTAAAATGATTTTATTTCTTCTTTCAAAGCCTTAAGTGAACTTTTTCTCGACATACTACATGAGAACTGTTTTGAATAGCAGAAATCGTATTAACTTTTGATCAGTCGCCAAACATTAAGCATACAAACAAATTTCTCTTGATATTCTTAAAAATATGTGAAAACAAACGTTTATCTTGGAACTCGATAGGATCTATCCGAAACGATTTGAATCTTTTCTTCTTAAATGCTTTGAGAATAGCTGACTTCAACTAATCGTCAAGCAAAAGTTCTAATATTATTACATATGTATGTACTGCAAACGATTATTAAAAATAATCACTATTGTCTAAAATAGTATTTTCATATTTAGTATCTATTCGTGCTCTTTTCAATGATTGTTTCAAATAAATGAGAAAATAAACTGTGCGAATGGTATAGCTTACATATTGAGTTTCTTATTAAAGATTTTTCTCTTTTTTTGTAATGTTTGAATATGTTTTTTAAATCTTTCATATTCTCTTTGATTTTGTTGAATCATTTTTTTTGAGCCTTTTTCATTTCTTTCGTCATATGGAATGAAAATATCACATTCTTGACGATCTCGACAAGCTGAACAAGCAAAAAACTTAGATGTTGATGAATGAAATAATAATGTTGGACCATGTACACATTTTGGATGATTTATTTCAATATTTTCAGAAAAATCAATTTCAATCGAAGCTTTAGTCATTCTATCTAAAAACAAATCAAAAATATTCAAAAATTTGAAAATACAGAAAAAATAAAATTGTAAATTTAGTTTTGATTTAAAATCGAGGTTCGACTTGTACGAACGCACCATGCTCGGAGCGAAGAATGATTTCAAATGAAAGATTTAATTCATCGCGTTTTTGAGAAGTTTTTAATTTAAATCGTCGTAATATCGATGATAACATTGCCTTTTCTTCTAATAAAGCAAATCGTTGTCCAATACAATTTCTTGACCCAGCTGAAAATGGTACAAAAGCATATGCTGCTCGATCGTGACTATTTTCAGGTAGAAAACGATCGGGATCAAAACGTTCAGGATCGGGAAAATGTTTTGGATCACGATGAATATAGTAAATAAATAAAACAGCTGTTGAACCTTGCAATATTTTATAATCATCTAAATACAAAGTGACTTTAATAATTAAAAAAAAAAACAATTTGAAATAAACCTACTATAAGTAAAATCTTCTTGTACTTCACGTGCAATAAATGGAACTGATGGAAACAATCGAAGTGTTTCTTTGATAACACATTCTAAATAATTTAATTCATTTAAATCTTCCGTTGTAGATGGACGATCATGATCATTTCCTAAAGATTAATTTGAAAAAATGAATAAAATTAATATTCGCTTGGAATCTACCAAAAATTCGATCGATTTCGTCATGTAACTTTTGTTGAACTTCTGGATGTGATGCAATCATAAAACAAGTGAAATTAATTGCTGCTGCAGTTGTATCATGTCCCTAATTAATATTCAAAACAATTTTAGAAGAAATAAGAAAAATTTTATTGCCTTTTACCTCAAACATAAAAGTATCAACTTCTTCTTGAATGTCGACAAGTGTTAATTGCTCATCATGCATTTGTTTAAGAAGTAAATCTAAAGCGAAGATAATATTATTTTTCAATAAAAAAGAACTTAGAATGAAAGCTGACCTAGAAATGCAGAACGTTTATTACGAATTTCATCAGCATGAAAAGCTTGAGCACGATCGTCGATAACGCTTTTTGTAAATTGGTGAACTATTTTTAAATATCGATCATGTGCTCGTCCTTGAGGTAAAATTTTAAATATTAAATCAGGCCATAACCATGGCATACGTTGACGTTTCAATAGTATATCTGTTAATCTGGAAAAATGATTATCATTATTATTTCAAAGTAAATTTACATTTTCAAGGATTTTTTATTTACTTCAAAACAGCATCAACATACTGCGAATTCTTATCATGTTGTGCACCAATATTCAAACCCATTGCAGCTTCTAAATTATTCGGATAGTAAAGCAAAAATTAAAAACACAACAACTAACCGCATATAATATCCAGAGCACACGATGCAATATATGGATACAAATTAACTTCTTTTTCTGATTTAAGTGAAGCCAAACGTTGAACTAAAACAGCTGATTGTTCATTATAGATATCAACAAAATTATTGAGTAGTTCTTTATCATGAAATGCAGGTGTAATAATACGTCGACGATTCTTCCATTTTGCTCCAGCACTAAAACGAATCAGTTATTTCTTATTTTTCTTAGGAATCAGAAATGAAAACAATGATTTTTAGACCTCTTATAAAACTATGAAGAATTATTTATTCGAATATGAATCAAGAAAAAAACTACAAACAACATGAAACGTAAAGTATAATAAAAATACTGAATCTTTGTAGAGAGACAGATTTTAATACAGATAGTTAATTACGCAAATTTGAAGATTTTTTGATGATTTACTCTGGTTTTGAAATAAAAGGGTCGATTCTATCTCGGTGTATATGAACACTATGAAATGTATATTGCGAAGGTTGGACTATCATTCGATTGATGTAACAAACACATCTGGAACTTTCTCAATAAGCTATTATGCCACATTCATACACTCCCGGGTACAAAACGAATGCATCAGTTAAGAAGTTTTCCGCCATTAGCCTTTACTAAATATATTTTGAAGACTTGTAAGATGAGAATCTAAAACATTATTTTTGTCTGAATCTTTGTAGATAACATAATTTCATAGTGCAAGAAGCAACGTCATTTATCATGATAGATAGCTATCTCTGTAGGTTATTTTTGGTCACAAATCGAACAGAAATTTCATCATCTTTCTCGAGAATAATAAAAACTAGATAACAGAGTAACCTTTTCATATCAACGAATAGAAATACTGTAAAAAAATATTAAAAATAATCAACGTAATCTTTTATCTCATATTAATTTTCATGTTTTCGATATAATCTCGTGATTGGACTTGTTCTTAGACTTTGTATATAATTATTCAAATAATATATTCTCGATTCCAACTTACCTTGTTAATAAACCTGTTCTAAGCCATGGATGAAGAAATAAATAATCCGGTGATTTTGTTATATGTTTCGAGCCAGTAAAAAAATGCTAAAATAACAAAAAAAGATATGTATGCGATCAATACTTCATTTTCGACGATATCACGAAGTCTATTTTAGTTCTATTAAACTTTAAAATATGCATGTATTACTATTAAGCGCTAGTATTAGTTATGGCAGCATGCATGTTACGGTTTAAATATCGGGGATGAAAATGTATGTAGTATTGGATGAACTCAAACACCACATTCAGATTACTCTATGCTCAACAACACTCTACGATTTAGTCTATTTATTACATCCTGAAGCAACATGTGAAATATTATTTTGCTTGTATAGTCGTAATCTACATACTATTGCGCTGAAGCAGTCAAGCAACAATGAATTAAATACCTAAAATTAACGTGTTTCTTCAAAATTAAAATAAGTGTCTGCGCTGAACATATCAGTCGAGTAGCCATGAAAAAATTCATTATGCTCAAATCGTATTTGATAAGATCTAAATCCAAAAAAGATTTCATCTTCTCAAAATTGAACAATAAAAGTATAATTCGAGAAAAAAAATAACTTCCTAAAATACGAGTCTGAACAAACAAATTATTTACTAATAATTTTTGTATGCATACTAGTACGCTTCCATACAGGTGAAAAGAATGTTGTTTTTCGCTCGTTCTGTTATGAAATAACGAACGAATTTACCTATTCATGAATACGTGAACTATCGTACTGAAGGACGAACTGAGGTCACTGATCTAAGCATTACCAACTTTCACTAATCAAAATATTGAGTATGGCGAAAGTTTTGCGATAGTCTTTATTGTAAATAAACCCATGTTCAGAAATTTGACAACCTTTTAATGTCTTGTTTCATTAGACGCACCGTTGCATATTCTTCTCGGATCACAAGTCTGAAACTTTAGAGCAATTTTTAAGATTTTACTTGAGTATAAACACTGAATAATTGTTTCATTGTATACTTTCCTATGATGAAAACTTGAAAAAGTCTATTTTGTGATTGTTGACTAAGATACTATTTTTTTTAGCAAAATGATGTTACACAAAATGAAGCTTTCTCAGACATAGTATCAAACAAAATTGATCATTACTTCGTCAACACCTGCGAAGATATCAGTACTGATTTTTCATTTTCTTATGACGCCTTCTAATCGTCAAGAAAGTTAAACGTAGCAAGAAACAATTTACACCACTATACAGCATTCACATTACTTGACAAAAATGTTATTTCAGACTTTTATTCAATTTGAAGTCTAGAATAAATCTATGATCAGTTTGAAACATTATATTATAAAGGGATGAACAATACTATCTAAAGCTGAACTATAACAGTATTCGACTTTTTCTTAGTTATTTCTGTAGGTAATAACATAATGATAGTAATGCTTGTTCAACATGAGTATTGTATTAAAATTCTACAAGAGTGATAAAGAATGAGTCTCATTACTAAAGTAAAGTATGTAAGTGTCATACGTTTTCAAAACCAAAGATCAACATTTTTATTATATTTTTGAGCAGACCTTCATGAAATAAAAATTACCACAAAATATATTTTAGGTATGAATACAACTTTAGATCAGTCCGTTACTAAAGACCAACTTGACATTTACATTCAGTTTCTCTATTCATACTAAAGTAGAGTATATGAGAAATACAAGTAAATCTAACGAATTTTGTTTAAAATAATAATTTAATCAATCCATCGTCTCGTATTGTTATACAAAAAAAAACTAAATGAAATCACAAACCTCAAGTCCAACTGGATGAAAAAAAGCAACGAGGGGATATGTACCAAGCCATAAACAATACAGTATGTTAGTTTTACTTTCTTCATAAAATTGATCAAGTTTTCGAGAGAATCCTACAAGGAAATAGAATATTTTCTTGATATTTTTATTTTGACGAATTTGTTGCTTACGATAGGGATTTAATGGTAAACTAAATAAATTACCCAATATAGGTAATCTATAACGTGGACACGGTACATGTCCATAATTTTTTATTAATTTAAAATAATTTACAAGCCATGGTTTTAGTCGGGCAATAAGAAAAATAAGAAAAATAATAATGAACGATGTAAATGAAATGAGTGCCATTTTAATTGTCTACAGTAAAATAAATAGACATTTGCTTCCTATTTTTTGTAAATTCTATTTTCAAAAATAGAACACAATCAACATTTGATTTATAACAGAAAATGAGGTGTGCTTAACAAGTAAAAACACATACCCAAATACAACTGAGAGAAAAACAAACATGAAGATAAGAGAGCAGTTATCATTTACTTTTCTTTGTTACATATGTCGTGCACGTTTCAACTTCTGAAAGTCGTTTATAGATAAATCTGTCGAATGAAAATCACGTTTACGTGCTAATTGATTCGCAACTTGTTGCCGAACAAAACTTTCAAGCTGTTCAGAATGACAATCTGATGATGCACCAATCTGATGTGCATTGCCAGCATCTAATAACGAAAATAAAAGTTGACTCTAAAACAAAAACAACCCTTTACCATCCATAACAAGTGCTTGTCGAAATGTATGTAAATCATCGACAATTGGAAATTGATTCATAGTACCTGTGTTTGTACTACCGATATCTGTTGGACATGCAGAGAGGTAAGGTGAACGATCAACTAGATAATCAGAAATTTCTTGACTTCGTATATGACGATGTTGTTTACGACGAGTCCAACGTAAAACCTCTTTAGTTTTATGCTGTTCACCATTGATAATACCGAGTTGAATAGCATCCTTTAAAGTATCAAGACTTTCTAAAAAATAAAACAGATTTACAAACAAAAGTTGTTAAATAAAATTTAAACATCCTATCAAATCTCAAATATACGAGAACGTGGATCTATGGAAGAGAAAACTAATTGAATTTTGAGTACCATTCGCTTGACCAGAATGTCTCGGTAAGATTAGAGATATTCGAAAAAATACTAGCTAACAAGAATATTCGCCTGTTGAGTTATTGTATCCAGAACAAATAGTCGTCTACTATAGATAGGCAACAAAAATAGAGTTTAGTTTCAAATTCAGTATTGTATTAGTTCAATATTGTTTTCAACTAATTCCTAGTAAATAAGATACCAGAGTTTGATATGTTTATCTAGGAGAAAAAAACTACAAGATAAATCTCAATTGATTAAGTTCCAAATGAAATGTTAAGTATGGCTTCATGCTTAGGTATTTTTATTCTTACCTAAATATCCTCATATATTTCATTATGAATTCAATTGATGGATAAGTTGTTGCCTCGTTAGCATACTTACAATATCACACTGCTTTCTTTTCGTAGAGTTCAAATACTTCAATTATGAATCTCATTATATTTTAAGTTAGAATATTGTGTTCGAGTACAGCAATTTTCTAGGTCTCTTACGATCGTTCGGAATCCAAAAAATTGATTTCATAACTTTATTATGCAGACTTTTGCTCCCCGAAAGACGTAATCATACAGTTCACATATGTTAATTGTATCATCAGAGCGGAGATCACAATTTTCTGTTAGATCAATTACTGAAAAGCCATTGTGAATTAAAACAAAAATATAACTACCTTTATAAAGAAGTGTAACAGATTCAGCTGCTGCATGAAAAGTATTCCAGTTATTTGTCCCATTCGAGCGTTCTTTTAAAAAGACAAAAAGATGAAAATGATTTCTCTTTATATTTTTTTTATTTTACCACGAAACATTTTTGTAACATTCGTTGCTGCAGTTTGAAATGCAATAAATAATTTTTGTGAATAGTAATCTTGCCCATTAGATAAATTTTCATGGAGCATTTTTTCACACTCGTTTTCATATGTTGATAATGCAGTTTCTTCATTATCAATGCCTGATGAAAATTTATTTTCAATATGATCGAAAGTTGACATAGTTCTCGAAAAATAAAACCTTCTTATAAATAAATCTCACTCGTCCAATATGTAAAGATTCAAGTACTCCAATATGATGTCGCTACATGTTTTTGTTCTGAAAAATTATTTTTCATTTAAATATAAATATTCAAATTAAGCATTTACTTTAATGGAAAAAATAGAAAACTACTTCATAATAATGATTATTATAGATATTGATTTCCGATTGGTCAATACTGGTTTGGTATGAATTGCGCAGCATAGATAGATAGATAGATAATATCATCGATTTGCTTTTTGTACAAAATCCAAGAACAAGAAGAAATGGATAAAAAACATATTGAACAACTAGCATCGTCAGAAACTGCTGGATTAGCAACAAGGAATGCTGAAAGTACTCAACAACAAATTGATTCAATCAATGATGATGACGCTTTCTATAGTGGAAGGTACTTTTGTTTTTCTTTCTTTTACTCGATGTTTCTGTTATTTTTTATTTAGTTTACCAGCTGAAGTATTACGTCGTGTAAACGCCCTTCGAAACCTTCAACTTGAACATCATAACATAGAAGCTAAGTTTTTTGAAGAAGTCCATGCATTAGAATGTCGTTATTTGATCAAATATCAACAACTTTATGAAAATGTATGTCATGGCAAAGTCTATCTTATTTATTCTACTTTGATTACTTTTTTTTTGTTTATTCAGCGTTGCAATATTATTAAAGGTATATATGAACCAACAGACACCGAAGCTAAATGTGCATTTGATGGAGAAGATGTATGTATGATCATTTGTTTCTTGCAATATTAACATGTGGATTTATAGAATGACGAAGAAACAACAAAGCCAGCTGAAGATGAAAATAAAGGAGGTTAGTTTTTCTATATAGGCTCAATGAGATATGTATACTATTGACACTTGCAAGAATAACAAAAACAACGAAACTGGATGTATTGTTCTAGATTGTCATGACCTTGCAAGAAGTGTTTTTAGACAGAACAATAATATCTTTATCAATATGATACAAGAATTCGTTAACATTCATGACGTATTAGATTTCAAGATAAATCGACTATTTTCGTAAAATATCTTTTGTAAATTTTTCTTTTGATTATCTATTTTGAATGATTCTGACAAAGTAAATTTTAATCAATTACCATTGATGAAATGTGTTTAACTCAAAATCTAATGTTTAACCTATTTATGGACAACGATTTGAATATGTATCGAAACGAGAGCAGATCATTTTTCATGTTAATAATACAAGATATTCTATGAAGTGACTGTGTCCAATAATGAAAAAAGCTTAGATGATTAATGAGCATTATAAGACATTATAGAATTAGAAGTAGTCTTGAGTTCGTAGAATTTTACCACACGATGACATTTGATCTACAACTTTCTATATAGTCAGGGTTTACGATCTTATGAATATTTAAGAAGGAACCGCATTGTAGTACTTGTAGGTAGAAGTTGTAGATTAAAAATTCTTTCTTTCAATATTCATTTTTCTTTTGATAGAAGTCTTCTAACTCTCTATGAAAAACTAATGAATTCTGAATTTTTATTTTTAGATAAGGTAGTTGGTATTCCAGAATTTTGGTCACTAGTATTAAAAAATTCTGATGTTATATCGGAATTAATCAAAGTAAAAAAGAAAATAATATTTGATGGATTCCATTGCATTGTTCTTGCCTTCTATTAAGGAACACGATGATGAAATTCTTAAGCATCTCGTTGATATTCGTTTGAAAATGCAAGATGAAACTAAACAAAAAGGTTTCACTATTGAATTCGAATTTACACCAAATGAGTATTTCACTAATACAATACTGACAAAATCATATGAACTTCGCATGGGAATCGATGAACATAATCCATTACAATATGAAGGACCCGAAATAGTTAAATCAATAGGTTGCCAAATTCAATGGAATAAAGGAAAAAATGTTACAGTAAAAACAATTAAAAAAAAACAAAAACATAAAAATCGTGGCACTGTTCGTGTTGTTACCAAAGAAGTACAAACAGATTCATTTTTCAATTTCTTTTCACCACCAAATGGTATATTCAATTGAACTTATTGCTAGGAAAGAGATTCTTTTGTTGTTCTGTTTTTGTTAAAGCACCCGAAGGTTCTGATGCTGGAGGTGAGGATACTGACGAAGTAAGAATGTTAGCAGCTGATTTTGAAATGGGCCATTTGCTTCGAGATTCAATTATACCAAAAGCTGTACTTTATTATACCGGTGAAGTTGACGATGGAGAAGATGAAAATGTAAGACATAACTTGAATTGTGTTAAAAGTATGTTGTTTTTGTTTTCGTATATTAATGAAGTATGATGCAGAAGAAGACAATGATGAAGATGACGACGACGACGATGATGATCAAGACGAAGATGACAAAGAAGATCATGAAACCCACAGTAGTCATCATCATCATCATGCAAGTGGTGGTAAACATGGTTCCGGGGGTGTTCGTATTCATTAAAGTTTTCAATCGTGAAGATGTCTTTTTTTATTTAAAATAGAAAACTAGAGGAAAAAAGCAATCTGGCACTGGAGGTAGTGATCAACCACCCGAATGCCAACAACAGTAGAACAACGAAAAAGCACACCTTTTTCTTTTGACAGATACTATTTTTATTTTTTGGTTCATTCTCTTATTCCAAACGTTTATATATTGTAATCATATCTGAAAAGATGCTTTTTCAGCTGAACGGATAGAGTTTAAAAAAAGCAAAATAGAAAACGGATAAGAAGCAAAGAAATGGTATTTACTTTCTTATTGACAGAAGCTGGTTATTCGTTTTTTAGCTATAAGAATATGCATGAAGACTTGTTAATTTAATACTTATGAATTAACTAGATTGATAATTGAATTTTGCTCAATGAAAAATAATATTCGATGTATAATGTATAAAAGAGGAATAGAATCAATCTGTATTCTTGATGGCGAGTCGTGTTTTAAGATGGAGTCTGTATGATGTAGTAATACCAAGTACTGATTTGAAATTTAATCGTAATTAAAATATTGTATAGAGAATTGATTGCTGTTCTTCTATTATTAGATACTTGTTACGGTGATTTTTACTTGGCATCTACAAGTTCGTTTTGGGCAATCTTCTCTGTGTTTTCTCAAAAACGAGTCTGCAAGTGGCTCTTATTTTAGAGTAGTATTCAATGAGATGTACTCGAAAATTCACTTGAAATTTATCTTCTGCTAGTTTCATTTAATACATTCGACGCTCCCAAAAACGATTAGTGGATAAGGCTGTCCGATACGAATAAGGACGTCTCTTAAACATGCAACCGACAGATTTTGTCACTCTATAAAAATATATTATTCCTCGAATAATCTCATTTACATTTAAAATATTTCATCGGCTACATATCAAATGATGTTTTGACATTCGTACTAATCCAAGTATAGAGAAAGCATTTTTCATAATAAAAAAAAAGAAGAAACTAACGAATCCTAGAGAAAGAAAATCAATATTCTTCATTTAAGTACACAGCCAGAATATTATTCTTCACAAGAAGTGCTTCAGGTGATTGTCGTTCTGTTTGTTATTGCCTTATGCTGATCCAATGATTGGTAAAATTGATTCTATGATTTCTATTTCATGAAAGTATTCTATTGACTGTATTACAAATGGAATAAATTCAATTGAAAAGTTCAAATAGACTAATTGCAACAAATTCGAAATATTTTTTATTCTATTTGTACAATTGACATCATATTTATATTTATATGATCGAAAAAAAATCTAGTGAATCAGTCCTCTTTATCGGTATCGCTGTCATTAATAACTGAATCATTAGTAGGATTTCGTTTGTATATTTTAATTTCATGTATAAAATTAAAATTCTGTTGTTGTTGTTGTTGTTGCTGCTGTTGGCGTCGTTGTTCTTCGTATTCTTTATTTTGATCTTGAATATGATCGAAATCTAAATCAAATAAAGGATCAAGTGGAGTGGTTGGTGGATCTTTTGGCGTTGGTTTTTGTAATGTACGAGCTAAATGAATCCATACATCAACTTTTTCCCACGGATCATTCTGATTCACAATAGGTTTTTGATGACTTGAAATGTATGATGATCGAGTAGATATGCTATGCTTACTTGATGATGATAATGATGGTGCGCATTTAGTAATTGGCGGTAAATTAATTCGATTCGATAATGATGCCATACTTCGATAAGTTGCTGGTAAACTAACACGACTCGTTGAAATTGTTGTTGAACTCGCTTCAAAATCAATGCAACTATCATTTATGATTGATGCATTTTGTTTTGTATTTGTGCGCGCTGTTAATGGCAATGATGATGAAAGAATTGCAAGGCCACGATATGGCTTTTGTTTTCGTGGCGAATTTCTTTTTTCTAAATTTGCTTGAGTTATTTGTTCAATTTGAAGTAAATTGTTATTGATTATTTTTGCTGAATGTTGTTTTGCATTAGAATTAATTGTTAATGGGTGAAGATAAAGGCGGCGTGTTAAAATTTGTGCAGTACTTCGTGATGATGTATGACGAATATCATTGATTGTTTGACATAATTCAAGAAGTGTGAGTGATTTCGGTTTTACTGTGTGGTGTGCTGTGGTTGACGTCATACGTAACTAAAATAAACATATGCATATATATAGAGAGATGAATTATTCGTATTCTTTTAATCCTTTTAATCAATCTGAGATTTATGGGCATAAAAACTGACATCATCGATTATGTCTTGTATTGTAAGTTGACTTCGTTGCTGCATTCTTTTTCTTTACCTTAACTAAATCTCGAAATATTTCTTCGTCTCTCCTCTCTTTTTTTTTTGTTTAATTAAAACATCTATATATTATACTAAAAAGAAAACTTGATGAAATCAAAATGTATGGATATGTCTTCTTATGTTTCTAACATTATCGTCAAGTGTAATTTCGAACAGAAGCAACAACAGACCTTTTGAAATATTTGCCAATAATAAAAAGAAAGAGCATGAAAAAGTAAATTTCAAGTATGTCTGTAAAGAAATCATCGCACATTTGAACAAGCTACGCCCAAAATCAAATATTTTTTTCAAATGATGTCGCCTGCGTATAAACCGACTAAAAATATATTCTTTAACGATTGGCTGTTTAATAATTTTATTTTAGATTGAAAAACATACATCTATTTACATTCATCAAACATGACTACATCACGAAGACAACTAAAACGATCTATAGCTTTATCTTCTACAACTCTTGTTGGTATAGCCGATGAACAGGATTCAACAGTATGTTGTTCAAATAGAAATTGTCCATCACATTGGCAAAATCGTTTAACAGAAAAACTTAGAAATCTTCAACAATCTAAATTAAAAAGTTCTTCTTCAATCTTACCTACTGCACAATGTAAACATCGTTTTAAATTAGATTATTCGAATATTTTATCAAAATTATTACAAATAAATGAATTAGACGAAAACAATCATGAAATATATTCAAAACCAATAGCTAAGTCAATTATACTTAATAAACATGATTTATTTATTAATCAAATATCAAAATCATTTGATAATTTAACATCGATATTTATTAAAAATAATCTTGATTCACAAATGAAATATCGAATAATTCCATTAGTTTCTGATCCATTTTCTGAACAGGTTAAACAGATCAAAAAATAAAATTCGTTTTGATTTTTTTCATATTAGATGGATCGTATGGAAGTTTCAAAACAATTGAAAATTAATCTTCTTCGTATAAATCATATTCATGTAAATTGTCGTTTACCAGTTAAAATTATCTCAGCACCTATATGGACTCGTTTAGCTGTTCATGTTATTGTACAAGATGAAAATTCTGATTGTCTTCGTTTATCAATTTATAACTGGTCACCTATTATTGACACAAGACAAATTAAATCATATGACTATATACAAAAACGTTTAACAAATTTATTACCCATGAATTCATGTATTGTAATATTAGATCCATGGTTAAAAACATGTTACGATGGTGATATTTCATTACGTTGTGAATCACCAAATACACATTTGTTAATGATTGATTTTGAAACACGATGCTCAACAAGTAATAAATTTAACGTTGAACAATTGAGACAAATGGGAAATGCTTGTTATCAAGTTGATGATAATCTTGGTGCAATCGAATTTTATTCGTTTGCATTAGGACAACTTGATGAACATCAAGAAAAAGAATTAATGTTAAAAGGACAATCAAGTATGTTCAACGATTTATTTTTATAATTCAGAATATCGATAGATAATCGATTTAGTACATTTCTTCTATCTATCTTTTAAATAGTTAATTTTGTTTCAAAATAAAAAATGAACAGATAGAATTATTATCTGGTCATGGAAACTCGTTCATTATAAATCGAGAATATTGATCATATTTCAGTTTCGACAAACGTTTTAAAAATAAATATCATGTGATAATACTAGAGGATTTCAATTAGTTTGTTTCATTTCTCGTCAATGTTTGGTTAGAATTTATCGAGTTACCTTAAGTATATTTCACAGATAGATAAGAGTAATTTTTATAGAAGGAAAAATTAAACGTCTACTGGCACGTAAATTATAGAACAATGACTATTATGGGTTTCGTTCATTTAAATTGGTGTACTCTTTTGAATAATGATGAAAATTTCTTAATTATCAACAAATAACATATATACACGATCAATATCTTGAAATTAGGAACGGCATCTCGTCAGCAGTTTATTTTGCATACTATTTTAGTTTAACGATCAGATCTTTCGTTTGAATCGAATATGGTAAGGATGAATATACACAAGTCTTCTATTAAATCACACAGTCTTTTACAATGTTAGTAGTTTCATCAACTTTTGCATATTAATTCACCAGGGACAGCGCTTTAAAATAGATTTTGTGCTGTATGTGAATTTTGTTTGTTTTTTATTGTTTATTTCTATTTGTTTAGTAGGTCCAAAAACTGATGAACGTGAACAACACCGCCTTCGTCTTTTATCCAATCGATCTGCTTGTTATCTACGTGAAGGTCATGCTGCTTTAGCTTTAGCTGATACTGGCATTCTTTTTTCGTTTCACGGGCTATCTCATTTTCTTGAATCACCAGCAGCAGCAACTAGCAAACTTATATTTCGTTGCATAAGTGCGCATCTTTATTTAGGTTTATTTGATAAAGTCGAAATGTTATTAAAATCCCATAGATTTGGTGTTGGTTTATGTGGAAAAGAAAACCCAGCATCTATGGCTACACTTGAAAACGAGGTGATACGCTTAAAAGTTGAAGCTACAAGAGGCCGGTATGATCTTCAAGAAATGTTAGATGAACAAGTCACTAGTAAATCGCAAATGATGTTTGTTGATTTATCTCATCATCATGCTAAATATGAAAGAAATGATTTATTTGAAATTCGACCTTGCCAAGTAAATAATTCACAAATTTACAAAAATAAAAACCACATAGACTCTATTTTGCGTTTTATAGACACATGAATTAAGCAAAAATGGATATCCACATGGTTCTTATGGTGTCTATGCATTAAAAGATCTTAAACCAGGAACATTATTGATTGTTGAACAACCATTTGCAAGTATTGATAATAGAGTTATTGCTGAAGAATACTGTCATTCAATAAATTATTGGCAAAAGAAATCCAAAATTGAATATTGTACAAATGATACGTTACGTTTATTAAATGAAATTGAGAAACAACTATTAATTGGTGGTCCCACATGGACAACTTTTGATAAAATTAAATTAATGCAACCCATTCGGCAATGGCTAGCAAAGCATATTGTTAAAAATATCAATGAACAACACGAAAATCATGATGTTATTTCAGATTTGTTAGAAAACTATGAAAAAATTGCAGCAGAAAAAAAACTATGGAAAAAGCCATTTATCAAGTAAGCATTTTATATAGATTACAAAGAAAACATCGATGAATCACATAAAAAATGAGCAATAATGCTACTGAACTAAATAGCATTCTCCGACTTCTCCTACATATGACCAATACATTCAAGAGTGAAGAAAATAGAGAAAAACGTGAAAAATGAAAGCATCAAATAAAGAAACATCCATAAAAAAATTAGTCAACCGCTGTCAAATAGTTTCAATTATAGGGAGCTCAACTCATACTTTCAGTTTTTATCTATGTCTACTGATTTACTCTAAGTACAATGTATGAAGTGGATCAGAATTGATTTCGCTTTCACAACATGTACGCATGAACTGAACAATAGCGCCAATACACAACATGTTGCTATATTATAGCATTATTTTCATTCAGCATATCTCAATAAATATCGATGATAATATAATAAATATTTTATTTTTTTCAGACAATTGCCACCACCATTACCTTATATCCCTTGGCGAATTTTATTTGAAACTCAGCAACAAAATCCATTCAAATCTCAATCAACAAACGGTTGGTATCAAATCGGTTCAATGTTGAATCACTCGTGTTTGCCTAATTGTTTATGGTATTTAATTGGTGATTATTTATTTATATACGTATGCTCATCAAATGTTCGACAAGGTGATGAATTAACAATATCCTATTGTCCATTATGGATATCATCGATTAATGAACGTACGAAACAACTTGGTCAATATGGCATAAGGTCATGTCAATGCTTATTATGTTTGTATGATCGATTATCCATAAATGAATATGAAAAACAACTGAAAAAGTTTTCTTATATTCGTGCATTAGTTCGACAAAAGAATATTTCAAATTTAAATCGTTTTAATTATTTGAAACAATTAAAATGTCATTATGATATTTTAACAAAAACATTTCATGAAAGACCAGTTGGTTTTATTAATGAATTTGTTGATTTCGAAGATATTTTATCTTATTTTCAAGGTGAAGACACCGAAACTGATATAAAAGAATTTATAAAAAGACAACAAACTTTGTTTCTTGGATATTTATCAGATGTTTGCCGTTTTACATTACCAAATGTATCAAATCCTATTCTGTTATTTGGAGCACAAATAAAAGTAAAAAATTAATTAATAGTTTTTATTCAATAGACAAAGAAGGCAAACTTTTGTTTTCTTCTTCTTTTCTAGTTATTTATCGATCATATTGAACAATTCTATGCATCTGACTTAAGTCAATGGAGTCGTTTATTTGAATATCTTTACGAAATTTATACCTTTAATTGTCATTCAGCGTCGAATGATGTACAAAAAACTTTACAAGATCATAAACAATTGTTTAGCAATCTTTTTCAAACACAAAGTTGTTTTCAACATCCATTTATAATCAACGAAAAAAACTCAGATTAACTTTTTATATTCTTTTTTTGTCCGCTATATATATATGTTGATTTTTTTGTTCAAGTCTTTCAGTTACAGTTAAAACACAACATGATATATCGATTCAGTGATATATACGAGAAATTTTTATCTGATTTCATCTAATAGATATGTTATTATGCTACAAAAAGAGTCGTAAATGGAACTCGTCAATATTGCCTTGCTAGATTTTTAATTCAGTTGCACAGGATCAATTTCAACCGAATGCTTCTCATGTTAGGATTACTTATGTGAAACGAAAAGTTCACTCCAAAGGTCTTTACTAGAGAATAAAGATGCAGAAAAACTTGATCTTTAATGTCAGAAAAAAAACATTTTTTGTACTATACACTGAACTGAAAAATCTGGAATTTTGATTGCGAGGTCTGTTACTTTTAAGGATTTTATTTAGATTTCAATAAGTATGGTAATCGCATCAAATGAAGCAATGAAAATTGACTGAGTGACACAAAAATTATTCATTTGTGTGAAAAATCCATTGCTGCTTGTCTACTACACATTTATATTATGTTCATTAGATTTTTAACAAAATAGTTGTTTACTATCGGAGGTTACACATCGAAGATTTTTGGATTTGAAACATTGCTAATAACATTTGTAGATCGATGAATGCTCTAAAAATTTCAATTCATAACTGTCATATGTTTTTATGTCGAATACCTTGAATAGAGCAATGTATCATAGAGTTTGGTTTATGAGTTAGTTCTCTATGATTGCCTGTTGAGACTTGGTAAAAGTAAGAATGTGATCCTGTGTATTTTGTTGACATTTCGATACCTTAATTATGTATAGTGCTCAAGGTTTCTTTTATAGATACCCTCAATTTTCAAATGATTTTCTTTATTTACAAATCTTAGATTTATTGATGTTATCTGTTGGACTTGTTGCAGTTTCTTCTAAATTTAAGAAGAAAAGAATCATGAATTGAGATGTATTTGTTCAACAGATTAGAAGAGACAAGAAACGAAGACTCAGCTCTCAAAAGCCAGCACTTGCCACAACAGTGGAAACTTAAGTTTATGTTTTGCTTCGAATTCGACAAACAGAAAATACGAATTTATTAGATGAAAGTCAAAATGTTATGATTGAAACATATTTGCAACAAATAAACATTAGATGAGTAATTGTCGATTTTAAACATAGGATCATATTGACTTGAATAATGTTTTGTTTATGAGAGGTTACTAGGTAATTACATTACATCATTGATAAAGTCTGTAATTTTGTTATTAGACAAGATAAGGAGTTAAATTGTCTTATCAGTCGCATTTTTATATGATACTTTATTCTTTCCATGTATACATATGTACAGGTATGTTACCCATTATTCTATTGCTTAGTTCTTGTTTAATATCAACATCACAATCGCAACAACTTTTTGACTGTGATTTTGAAGAATCATGTGAACATTTTCTATTTGATTCTTATTGGATTGTCGAGAATGTTTCATCACATGCTGATCATACTTATGGAAATTTGTCTGGTCATTACATAACGTACACGAATTCTTCAGTATTACAACCTTTTACTACGACACTTCGTACAAGAGATTGGATAAATACATCATCGAACTTAACAGCATGGTTTTCAAATTGGATCTATTCAGGACCAGGTGGAGTTTATTACAAGTTAGAACTTGCGCAAGGTGATGATTTACAAGCTCGAATTCCAGTAGGCATTATTGGATTTAATTTCGATAATCCACAATGGCGTCATGCTTCTGTAGAAATGCCATATGCTAATCGTTTCGTTCCTTTTATTTTATTTACCAATATTACAAGTTCATTAGATCTGGATGACATATCAGTTGACCTATCTCATAGTTCGCAACCTATACCACCGATCAAAACGATGTTCGATTGTGATTTCGATAAAACGTTTTGTCCCGAGTTACTTTCTCTTTCTAACTATTCTTACAGTTGGTCAATGGTTCAAGCAGAACAAGCACAAAATTATACGATACAAGCACCCGATGTTGATTACTCGATTGGAGATAAAACAGGTATCATAAAAAAAAACGATTGAACTGATTATTAAAAACTTGATACTACATTCATTTCATCTTGATCGTTCTAGGTCATTATATGTGGTTGAATAATTCAGATTCGTTACAATCGGGAGGTGCTGGATATTTAAACACACGTCCTTTTCATTTCACAATGTCTGATGGTATATATTGCCTCAGTTTTCAATATTATCGATTCGGTGTTACTTTTGAAACTAGTAAATTGACAGTATTAGCCTTAGATGAGGATAATCAAAAGTCTGTTGACCAAATTTGGCCTATTGATCCAATAAACTATACTTATATAAATCAACGATGGTAAGTAACTACATTCATAGAGAAACAAAATAATTAATTATATTTCAAAAAAGGTCTTGGGCATATGCTCCGTTGCGTATCGGGAATTATTCTCTTTTATTTCGTATGGATTCTGAATATCAAGTAAATAGTTCATTTGCAATCGATTCTATTTCTGTTAGCTCGTGCCAATATCCCCAAAAGTATTTTTCTGCTATTTCAAATATTGAATTTGCCTGCGATTTTGACTCTTCAATGTATTCAACATGTGGTATACAAAATGATTATACTGATCTTCGCCCCCAATCAGCCCTGAATTTTACCATACAATCGCCAAATAATATCAATGATCGAGAGCTTGGTCCAAGACAAACAACAGGCTGGAGTGGTGAGGATTTTTATTATTGGTCACGTTCTGCACAGACGTCATCAATATTGACTAGTGGACAATTTAAAACGCCTTTGATAGAAACAAATAGAGATATGTGTATTAGATTTGCCTATTTTGTAAATTCGACTAATGTTCAATCAAATGAAAATAATACGAAGATCGATGTTTCTGTTCGTGGTTGTGAAACAGAAAATATTTGGTCAATTGAAATAGACAATAGTTTAGGATGGCAATTAGTCGTCAAGTCTTTCATTCCTAATGCCTGTAGACAAGCAGTCTATTTTTCTATTACTCAACGACGACCAACACGTATAGCTGTTGCTTTCGATGATATTACTATTGCACAGTGTGGTACATTAAATGTGCTAACTACTACTGAACCACCGATTACGACACCTTCTAGCAAAACTTCATCGAATTCCATCGATTCAATTGTCTTGATTACTAGTTTACTCGTTGTACTACAATATGCGCTATCATTTATATAATAGCATCTGCCAAAACAAAGAAATCTCCAGTATTAATCTTTTGAGTATAATAATTAAAATTTAATAATCAACTCAGAGTCAAAAAGCCACATTTTTTGAAAAAGAAAGTTTTCGATAATTTTTCTATTTGACTTTTATTAAACATATCATTAATTTTAAAATAAAAGGACACCAAAGAGCTAGTTATTAGAGTAGCTCGAATTTCCCCAATACTGGCGAGACTTCCTCGCATGCTGAATTATTAAAGCAGATGACATCCCATATGATATAAGCCGGAAGAAAACTGGTGGTTTACCGTTAAAATGATCCGGTATTTACGATATGGGATTGATTTATGATATGGTACAAACTTTCGTCAATATTGGCATATATGCATACGACTTTCATTTGTATAACCCCTGAACTCCCATAAAAAATTGTCGAAGATCGAGTGTCCCATTTATTATTGAAGTTCAAGTTCATGTTCATAGTGATATATCACTGTGATTGAAGACGAAATATTGTTGTCCATTCTATACCACATACATATTTAATCACTGATAAGTGATGGGTGCATCAGTGAGGCCTAAAAACAAAGGCACAATCAGTACATGATAAATCAGTTGTATCAAACTTTTAAGTTAAATGTATGTGTTCAAATATGCAAGTATTTTGTTCGAAGATCCAACGTACTAGTATGTAGATGTGGGATTGTGCGCGTGTCAGCTGCGCTTGTTGGTATGGTTTTTCTGTTTATATGCACCGAAGCCCATTCCCTGACCTCAAACCAACATGAATGTATCATTTCTACATTAATATGATAAAAAAATGAATTCTTCTGAAAATCTTTGAAAATATTCCATAAAACTCATAATAAAGCTTTGAATATAACATGATTAAATAATGTCAAATTAGAATTATTTTCATTACTGGACTAACTCAAGATAGAAAGAAATTAAGAACTTTAGTAAGAAAACAAATTTTTTTATTTCGAATGTTTTAATTGAATTTTGATAGACTTTTGGATCAGAAAAATTTTATGAATTATATTTTGCTTTACGTTTGATGCCAACAAGAATTCCATACGAAAATGTATCCCAACAACTGAAACGATTTAATGCGCTATAAACATTCTCTTAGAATTAAGCATATAACATAAAAATACAAATAAAATCAGATTTAATAATAAATTTAAACTGTTAATGGAGTATGACAGCAACAAACAATTATATTAGATTTATATTTATTCGTTTCAGATGAATATTATGATTAATATAGTACTTTCGATTTCGAATAGGAAAATTTAATATTATACTAGACCTTATTTTTTCTATTTTTCAAGATTTGTTTGTTATTCAACATGAAGTTTTAGTAGAAAAAGTTGAAATAAATCAAAACATTTTTATGAAAAATAATTAACAAACCAAATAATTCAAATAGCCAAAATGATTTTATCATTACCTTGCATATTAAATATTCATTTACATATTGAACACTATTTCACAAGAAATACATATAATATTCTATAAAGTATTTAATATGATGTTCTTAGCTTAACTCTACCACAACATATCTTTGCTATCAGCATGCTAACTGGATGATCCATAGAAACATGTAATTATCTCAAATTTTTGTTGAAGTTGTTTCTATTATTCTTAGACAAGTATTTATTTATTCATATTGTTGCTCAAATGTAGTAATAAGCAAATACAAAAATCTTGACAAATAAGTTAAAGAAAAAAAAGGGTGAGATTTGTAAGGTAAGGTGCATCATGACATCACCGCAATTACTGTTTATGTCCAGTAAGTTTGTTTTTGACTCTTTTGATGCGTTTCTTTTTTGGTTTTTCATTGGATCTATTTGAGGGGGAAAAGATACAAATTTCGCGTGTTTTTTAGATGACACGTACTTATTTATTATTGACGAAAGTTTATATTCGTTCAGAAGAATTTAAAAATTGGTCTGTTTTTTTTTCCTTTTCTTTTAACAGCTTGTTTAATTCGTCATTCATTCGATATAGCAAGTCATTAATTCTAGTTAACTCTGCAGTAGCTTCCCTGATATTTTCCTGAAAGCCCAGGACGATGTTTCCGACCTCCGAAAATGAGCGGATTTAATTGGAACCGGCCAGGATCATGCAGGAAACGCACCGGAACGTGCAGGAAAACGCCGGATATCACCGGACCCTGGAAGCAGTATTCCAGGACGGATTTCTCCGGATTTTCCCGGTGATTTCCGATGATTTCCGACGGGAACCAACAGGAACTTGGCGGAACTTACGGGAAAAATCCGGAGATTTCCCAGTTTGGAATACTGCTTCCGTGAAATCGCGGGAATTCACGGGAACCGGTCGTTTCCCGGGCCGGTTGCTTGGACCTGGGAGTTATTACTTTTTTCATTGTACGTTGTCATACTTTCTACGCTCGCTGCTTCCATTCGCGCCATATTTTTTTCCGCAGTGTCATGATTTCCACAAATTTTCATTGGTGTATCATCGATAGATGCAATGCCTCGTGATGGGATCTTTTTTGTTGTTGTATTGTTTTTCAACGGAGATTTCCCAGGTCGAACATTACGACGACCTGGTACGATCGTAAACGGCCGTATACGACAACGTATACTACCGTTTTATAACGTTTCTGACCATAAATCGCCGTAATTTGACGTTTTGATATGCACCGTATTTCGCCGTGTGGTAAACGGTTACTAACAGTCGTAATGTGGTCGGATATTTCAGTATTCGACCGTATACGATCGTTTATCGCACGATGCAAAACTACCGTAATACGGTGCTTATCAAACGGCCGTAAATTATGGCTAAACGGCCGTGTACAACACAAGTTGATCAACCTGGGTTAACGCTTCGAATAACTGGACTAGCATTTAATGGTGTTGTAGCATTTAATATTGGTGAATCATTAACTAATCTCATTCTAGAATATAAGAAAATACAAACTATTAGTTATTCTATTATTGCATATATAATTAGGAGTTACGATTGTAATTGTGCATTCAATTGTTCATCATCGATTGGTTGATCGTTTAATGGATTAGTAGTTCATAGAATATCGTTATCTCGATTATCGTTCATTTGATGATCATCCGTTTGATCATCATTTATTGATCGATCATATAACATTTTTAAGTCATAAACTGTATCTTCTTTGATTTTTCCTGATAAGCGTTGCCGTAGAGGTTTAAATGGGGTATCTACACATAATAATAAATTATTATTTATACAAGAAGATAAGGGTACTTGTTTTAATCTTTACTTCCGTCCTCGAAATCAAACACCATAAATATGGGACCCTGTTGGCTCTATATCGTAATGACAAACTGGATAGAGGTGAAGTAGCGTACCGCCACTCTCAGCAATGATCTTTATTAGCTTCTTCACATATCCAGAGTGTAACCACTTCATACATAACACACGTATATATAGGAGAGAGACACATGAGAACAATGGAAAGAGAATAGAAAGAGGAGGAAGAAGAATCATCCAAGCGTGCCATCAATATCGGCACAATAATTACCTCTTTTCACAAGTGGTGTATGTAACTTGGTGGTGGTGGTGGAATCATTCGGTTGATTTGTTGTTAGCAACCATTTAAATGTTTTACGTAAACATAATTTAACTGGTGGCTTCGTGCCATTGATGATTGCACTTTTCCATCCATTACCAAGTTTTTTCCTTATCATTTCTTCCATATTTAACAATAATGCTAACGAATTTCTTTATTCTTATTAACTATGTATATAGAATTAATCAGCAAACAAGTATGATATATCCATATATATATATATAGATTCTTTCCATGAGCGAGGTTATTATTCATTCACGAGCTTTGTTTCTTTTTATTGTGTTGGCCTACTGATACTAGCCCCTAGATCAACCAATCAGTACAAAACGATTAAGATATAGGCACCATACAAATCATCAGAAAAGGAATAACTACAATAGAGTCAAAGCATGAAAAACCTATCCAGGTCGCACATTCCGGCCACCGGATCCCGTAGGATACTCCAATAAATAAGCGGGAAAGTCATCATATATCCTGCAGGAAAACACGGGAAATCGCTGGAACCCGGAAGTAGTATTCCGGTCAAAATTTTGACCGGAATACTGCTTCCACAAAATCAACGGAGCTATCCGGAACCGGCCGTTTCCAGGCCGGACTGTTCGATCTGGGAATTAATGATTTATAGTATATATCAAGGGATTACGTTACGGTTGATATTAGTTCTTTGAACTTATAGCTAGCATGACACTTGATATATGACATTACATTATGAGTATCTTTTAGATGAATATAAAATGAATATTTTAGAGAAGACCGACCTGTTTATCGGTCTTGGGATCGTAATAGCATACTATGTTCTGTGAACTATCAGCCAGGAGTATAACTCGGCTCTGAAAGCAGGGGGATATTGGGGGCGCAATATCAATTTTTGTTATATTTTTACGATTATTGGAAGAAAATTTCCAGAACAGGGGGCGACGGGGGGGGGGGGGGGGGGGGGGGGGGGGGGGGGGGGGGGGGGGGGGGGGGGGGGGGGGGGGGGGGGGGGGGGGGGGGGGGGGGGGGGGGGGGGGGGGGGGGGGGGGGGGGGGGG